TAAGACTGCATGTGCTGTAGGAGATGACCAGTCTGAGCCCGAGGGATGGGTCAGTCTCAAGTCCTTCCCGCCTCCAAGTCATCTAAGTCGAGCCAATGTTGAATTCCGTTGACTCTGCCACCAATTTGCTTTGACCATTAGTAGTTTAGATTCTTGTAGAGAGCATTGGCTTACAATAAACCTATATTCATTTGAACTGCCTGGACTCCTGATTTCCTGTGCATAAACATCTGGTCCCGGTGACCAACTCGGATTCGATCTTGTAACAAAAAGTATAGATGAAGCTTTTCAGTTAGATAAAGGCAGACTAAAGTTGCAAACTTCTACCTACTTGCATAACAGTAAGTCTTATTCTTTCAGCGGCAGAATTGTAGTTTTTCTCTGAAAGAAAGAAATGTATCTTTGTAAATAACATATATTTAAATGGTTCATATTAAATTTGCTGATAATGTAATGGAGCAGATTAGTTTTGTCAAACCCTCGTGGAGGATGAAATTTGCTAAATTTAGGGTCATTATTCTTTTACATAAATACGGTATGTCCAACCATCATATATATTTACTCCTTTTGTTTATTTTTGAAAATGAAACTAGAATGTTCAAATAATTTTTCAGGCAGGTGCAGATGCAGTTCTAGGCAGGACAATATGGGGAATCCTTGGTTTGGGCGCCTTTGGATTTCAGCTGAAAGAGGTACCAGCTGGGCAGCACATCATTACCACCACAAGATCACACAGCAGCAAGATGGTAAATGACTGCATTAGTGCAATGAAGCCTGATAGTGTGGTGAGAGTTGGAGGAGCTGGTAATAAGGTATGGACACTCCTAAATTTTAATGCCATGATAGTAGGGTTAATTTTTTAAAATTACAAGACAAGACTTCCATTTTTATAATAGTGCCACAGACAAAGTTTTCCAATAGCTGATGCATATCTTGCAATTCGATTTCAACCAAATTGTGTGGATGGGACATAGGAATTGTGGAAATAATTTTATTAATTGCTTTGGCCTCTTTGGGATTTTAATTATTTACATGTCATATCTGAAGATGGTAGAGATTCTTAAAAGAGTGGCTTAGAAATGGATCGATACTTTCTTTAAAGATAATAGTTATAGTTTATTGTCATTGCACCTCGTACAATGAAATTAAATGCCATCTTCAGTGTACACGCATCCTTCACATTCTATACAATTGAATTGAAAACCCCTGACCTGATATTGCACGTCCTCATCTCTTGTCAAGAATGTTTTTTCCATAAGCCATAACCAGTGGTGGGATTCAAGTAATTTAACAACCGGTTCTCTGCCCTAATGATTTCTTCCAACAACCAGTTTGCCAAAAAAGTTAACAACCGGTTCTCCCGAAGTGGTGCGAACCGGCTGAATCCCACCACTGGCCATAATCTAATTAAAATGTTAATTGTAAATTTTACCACGAATCATAATATTTCCAGGCCTGAAGCCATCTTTTTCGTTGGATCTTCAGGCGTGCCACAATTACTACTGGGAGGGGAAACTGGGAGGGGGAATTGTATGGAGCCAGGGTGATACATAGTCATAATAACATTCCTTTCTCAGAGACTCAAGGACATCTTGCCCTGTACTTGGATGGCTGGAACTGGGAGGCATCTCCAGTTGGGATCGTGCTTTGATTGGACTATGTGATGGACATGTGGGTGTTGGGCAGGGACTTCAACATTCCTTTGGGTGGGGAAAACCTGGAAACTTTCAGATTCGGGGTTTCCCAGATGTGCCAATATGACATCCCTAATAAAATGGAACTTTGAGGAAACTCAAACCTCGGAGTTTTCTTTCATTGGGGGAGTTACTTGGAACCCTGACAAATATATCATCCAAAAAATGTGTATAATTATATGTATAGAGAAACTATACATATATACATGCATATGCTTATTATGAATATATAAGAGCAAAGGAAAAAGGCCATAGAAAGTAACCAAGAACTAAAACATTGATCTGTTTGTGAAGTCATTCCTTATCTTTAAAAACATTGTATGTGTGCATATTAAACGACTGAGGTTGTTTTATTTGTATCAGATCATTCAACTTGTCGAAGGCAAAGCTTCTGCTTATGTATTTGCCAGTCCTGGATGCAAGAAGTGGGATACATGTGCACCAGAGGCTATTTTGCATGCAGTTGGAGGTAAGTTAATAAATACATTGGAGAATATAGAAACAAGGAGATGTATAATTTTTTCTCTTTGTAAAGAGCTATAACTAAGAGGCCAACGATGCTAACTTAAAACCTAGTATTTTAAAAATATGTTTATATTCTTTTCAATGAAGCATACAGATGTATTTATTGGCTTAATATATGTTATTTCCTAGCCGATGGTCATCTCCGTTACTTTTCTTTCTGTAGCTGGACAATATCTTAACAATGATTACTCTTTTGGATTTTAATTCTTCTCAATTGTGTGATATAATTATAGTGATAGTGATTATATAGTTATGTGTAGTGATATTTTTTGTCTGTACGTGCTAATAAGCATACATAAGGTGCTTAGATTTAAATTAAGATTTCTTTAATTCATATCTGTTGACATTGACAGGTATGAATAAAAGAAATAAGCAATTTCTAAACTTTTTAAAGATAAACAAATAAATAAGAAAACAAAACTTGTAGATTATGCTATTATAGAATGCTTGGGTTCTGCAACCTGTGAACATTGTTTGGAAATAAGTGCTTCAGAACCCAAAAGAACACAAAACCCTGCTCTTATCTTTTAAAATATGCTGTTATTATCTCTAGGTTTCTAGGAAGGTCTGAAAAAAGTTGTAGTTGCTTTAAGAATCATATGGTTGTCACCTTTAAAGCCCTTCATGGTTTGGGACCATGTTATCTGAGGGACCGTCTCTTGCCAGTCACATGTACCTGACCAATCAGAACGGGGAGGCAGGGAATGTTGCAGGTTCCATCCCCGAGGGAGATACACCTGGTGGGACCCAGAAGAAGGGCCTTCTCCGTGGTGGCAAGCTCTCTCTGGAACATCATTCCCCCAGAGATTAGAATGGCCCCCACTCTAATACTTTTCCAGAAGGCGCTGAAGACCTGGTTCTGCCAGCGGGCCTGGGGAACCCAGAATAGGATGGAGCCCATTAAATGGCTCCTGTGATCTGCTGTCACCGGGGCGGGGAGTGGGAAGTGGAGTGATTTTGTTATATTGTACTATATTAATTTGATTCTTTTTGTTAGTTTTTATTGTTTTAAATGTGGTTTTATATTCTGTAAACTGCCTTGAGTTGCCATGGGCGAATAGGCGGAAATATAAATTCAATAAATAAATAATAAATATTAATCAAGAGTTAATTTTTTAAAACATGTATGCTTTAAAGAAAATGAAATGCTGCTCTAATTGTAAGATGTCTTAAGCACTGCTTCAAAATAATTTTTAGAGTAAGCAAAATCTTACAATGCACATAGCTATTAATTTTCCAGCTAATCCATTATTGCTTTTCTTTATTTGATGTGGTGGTATCGGGGGTTGATTTGTGTATAAAAGATATAATTTTAAGCACTTTTAAGTTCAGGAGAATTATATTGATTTTGAGGTCAGTTTTGTGTATTAAAGCACATTAATTATATTGTGTATTAACATGTTATACTAAAACGTAAGGAAAAATTCAAATTTAGCCAACAATAATTTGGAAAAGGAATATTCATTTTTTATGAACTAGTTTTAATTGTTTGTCCTTTTATAGAAATACAGATACTGTGTCTAAATCCATTCAAATCTAGAGTCATGTTTTTCTTTTCTTTCTTCACAGGCAAACTTACTGATATTCATGGGAACTTTTTTCATTATAATAAAGAGGTCAAACACATGAATTCGGGAGGAGTTCTTGCTACTTTAAAAAATCATGACTATTATGCCAGTCGAGTTCCTGAGGCAGTCAAAGAAGCCCTTGTGCCATAAAAAAATGCAGAAGATTGTGCATTCCATTTGGCTGGAAAGAACTTCTTAGCTGAAATAAGTTGTGATTTTTGATAGGGTCACACTCTGGACCAGTTCCATGATCTTTAGTTAGAGATTTGTTGCTTCCTTGATTTAATATACATTCTGGTAAATTTGAGATTTTAGTTTTTAGTAGTGACTTCAATAAAGTTGTCCAGCTTTCTTAATGCTTATTAATATATAAGTTCACCTATCCAATTATCCAATTATTATTCAATCTATTTGATTTGAAGACAAAACAAAATAAATGAAACACTTATTTCAAATGTCTTTTATTATGCAAGTCTCACTCATACATGCACCATGTGAAAGGAACATTTTGTCTAGCAAGCTAGCTTGTTTGTTTATATATACATGGATGTGTGGGATGTATGTCAGTTGTGTGCCTAATTCTCCCTCCATTTTCACATGAGATGTTTATATGGAGAAATCTGGAAATATACCTTTTATACACTGAAAAATACATTCTTGAAATAAAATTATAATTTTTGTGGACACTTTTGTGAAGGTTTTATTTGTAGATTTTGATTGCTTTGATCTCTGCTAAGAGGGCTCTTTTCCTGATTTATTCCAGTATGTTTGACTGATAGCTCTGAACCTGAAAAACTAACAGTTTGAATTAGTGGTCCTTCCTCTGCATTGCATCTGAAAACAGGTGCAGCTCTCAGAAACAGCTGGTGCGGGACAAAGGTGTGGCAGAGTCGGTCCCTTTTCGTGAGGGATGTTTCTGAAGACCAAAAAGGAGCTCGGCTTTCCAATCTTCGTCAAGCTCAACAGGAGCCAAAACCTGGGCTTCGTTCTGTTGGGTCTAATGAAGGGTTACACGAAACGTGCTTGGAAATAGCCTCGCACGGGTTCCGCAACCCCAACTTGGGAACGAGCGTTGCGGCTCCTGAGAGCTTGTGGAAAAACTCCAAGGCTCGTCCGCGGGAAGGAGGGAGGCGAAGGCGTGGACGAGGCTGGCCCAGCCCTGTGACGAGGCGGGAGGCAGGACCGGGGCTGGACTAGAGCCCGATTGGCGAAGGGGCGGGCGGTCTCGGCCCTCGCAGCCGCGTCGCATTCCTTCTCGGTTCTTTCTCCTAGTGCCGCTGCTGGAATGGCGCTGAGCCTGACCGTCAACCCCGGCGATCTGCCTCTCGGTAAGGACTTCCCGCTTCTGTTGCCCGGAATACACGCCGGTTGTGAGCGCCTCAACCTTCATCCACCCACCCTCCCAATTTCCCCCTCCTGGCTGCCTTGGCCGGCCCAAGTGTTGCTGCCATGTTGCATCAGGCACCGTCCGCGGGAAGCCATTGGCCCGACTCTTCATTCATCCGCCTCTTTCTCTTTCCCTTTCGCTAAAGCCGGTTCCTGGGTAAACGTTTCTAGATGAGGTCGAAGCGACAGGCGGAAGGCTCCTGTCATCTGGGGGTGGGGTTGGGGGGTTGGGGGGTTTGTGTGGGGCTAACAAAAGATCGTTGGGGAGGGAGCTGAGATGATGAATTCACAAAAGGCTTTTTGAGGCTTTTGACATTGATAGAGACGCGGGTCAGGAGGTCCAGACGTTCAATGGAAGGGGGTTAGAGAGAAGGGCACTGACACGTGGCACAGATTGTGGGAGACTCTGTGGGGGAATAAATGTAGGCCGTAGGCGTTTCTCACCCACTAACTTGTGTCTCTGGGTTATTTTCATCCCCCCCTGCCCAGTCAGACTCAGGCTTATGCAGAAAAGTCAAAATGTTGGCTTCACTTGCCAACGAGGTGTGGCTTCTGAACATAGTAGTAGTGAATGTAGTAGTGTAACTGAAGATGGCATTTAATTTCGTTGGATGAGGTGCAGTGACAATAAAGTAAACTAAACTAAAAACCCCAGATGAGTTATCACATGGGTATTTAAACTTGTGTTAATATGCGGATTTGCCTGCTGTACTTTTTTTTTCAACCACAACATTGCTTGGTCACCTTCTTCTTGGTCAATAGTCACAGTTTGTTTATATTCTGGTGCTTAAATGTTCTGGATTTTAAAGTGAAACTCAAAATATCAAGTTATGCCCCATTGAATATGTCCCATTATAGATTATATTTCCCATTCCAAGGTTATGTGATCTTCCTAGTTTTGGGTATTCTTTTAACTGTTATCTAGAATAGTGTAGTTACTTGGGTATAAGCCCTGCTGAATGTAATAAGATGTGGCAGTGACAGTCTACAGATGAAAAATGCTCTTTGAGAAAAAATTTAAAATATAATAATCTGATAAAAGTAATAGTGACTACTGCATGTTTAAACATTCCTTTTACATGTTTTTGTGGCATAACCTCTTAATAAAAGTTCCTTAAATATATTTCTTTTTAAAATCTGAGCTGCCATAGGCATAGTAGGGTGTAGCTCAAGAGCATTTATGCTTAGTCATGGAATTTCTAGGTGTGTAATTTTAGCTTGTCATTCTGCATCTCAAACAGACTGTAGAGTAGATTGTAATAAATAATCTTGCCTGCAGTGATGCTTCTTAATTACATAAAATGTTGAACTTTCAGTTTTGCATGACATATAGTTATAGATTTTGCTACAATATTAAATAATGGTTTAGAAAGATGAAATGCTACTGTCTCTCTTGAATTCAGCTCAACTTCTGATAATATGATGTGTGATTCTCATTAATAAGCTGGAAATAAGTTGCTGTCTTATCAGAATTTTCCCCAGTCTGGTTTACAGATGTAGGATTTCCCAGTGGTCTCCCATTAAAGTGCTAACCAAGCCCACCCATATCTAACTTTTTTCAAAATCAACTAGAATCTGATGTTGCTGCTGTGGTACCTTTGTGGGAATTGGTACATTGTAGTCAGGAGTAGATTTTTGAGAAAGGTTTGATTTGGAAATTTAACACATCTTTATTACTTTCATATAATACAACATTACAGTAGGGTAGTTTCTTATTGTAATCCAAGGATTATAATAATTTTTCAGAATTGTTTACAATCTTGAAATTTGAAGATTTTCCAAAATAGTCTGTAACTTTGGCATATGTGTACCTGGAAGCTTCAGTAAGTTTTTGAGAACTTGGTATTGCTAGGCTTCAGCTTCATCACTGCTGCTCAGTAGACCTCATTTTGGGATTCTCTTCTTCCCATAAATCTATTGGAAATTACTCTGCTTTTTCTAAAAGGAGGAGACTTAAATTCCCCTGCATTATTTCTCCTATCAAAATCTATTCCCAAGTTTTCACAGCTGTTACCTCTCTACTTTACATGTAGACTGTATTCATATCAATGGGACTTAACCCTATAGGCCCATGAAGTTTAATTTATATATTTATTTGACATATAAATCGGTCCATTCTCATTGACTCTGAACAATGTATGACATGAACAAGCTGGCAAATGATTATCTCAATAATTAAAACAAAAACATACCCAACATGACCTCAGCAGGAATATTGCAGCCTATCAGTCAAGTTGGCCGACTACATGGAAGGCATGGAAGTGATGGTGCACTGCTCTGGCAGCTTTTTTTTTAGGGGGGTGGGCTTCTCTTGCTTTACATTTTTGGCCTTCTCTTTAATACTGAAAAAATTGTTGACAATTGATACAATGTTAATGTCTTCCTGACTGGAATGTTTCAGGTAAAAGAGGAAATGCTATGAAATTTTTTTTAAAAAGTGTATCTTTAAAATAAGTCCTCTTATAATCATTTTAGGAGCATTGCTGACTGTAGAACATGTAAAGGATCATGTTAAAATTTCAGTTGAAGAAGGCAAAGAAACCGGTCTACGGATATCTGAGTACGTTTTTGTGTATTTGCTGTTGTTGCTTTTAAAATTTAATTACTATGATATTGATGCTGTTAAGAAAATGAAGAAAGACTGTGTTCATTACCCTGAAGGATGAAATGCAGTCATTGCAGTTCTTAATACTTACTAATAATTTCTGCATGACATATATATTATGGAACTGACATTAGATTCAAATAATGCTTTTATAAATTTTTCCTATCATCGAATAGTGGTATAATAGTTGTCATGAGATCTGGTAGTCTGAGATGGATTTTAAGGAACAAGGAAAATAAAATTCTAAAATGGATATGTGACTGATATGGGTGGTTATATGTTGGATTGTACATCTAGAATGTCATTCCTTTTCTGTCTGACCTTTCCATTTTTGGAGGGTGATGAGATCTCATATTGTGTGTTCCCCAAAACTGGTCATCTTCTGCTGTAATAGCGGTAAAGAAAGAAGTCATTTGATATGAACTTAACTGGTTTTGCTTTATGCCTTATTTCAACTCCTGACTAGGTGAGTGATGTCTGATTTAATTGCTAAGTCAGAAACTGATTACCTTTTCAAGAAAATAGTTAGTTCCGCTATGTAACTCAGCTTTTCTTAGTTCTGCAAAGGTATAGATTATGCTGCATTGAAATGGTCATCCTTTCCGTTGTAAAATAATAACATTGATTTTTTTAAAAAAAAGAAATTGGAGTCATTGAAAACTGACATAGGTAATGAAACAATGAAAATGTAATGCCTTTTTTGAATGAATACACACACACACATATATGAAATATAAATACATATCATATCAAGCTCAGATGAACTTGCTAAAATGAAAATGTTAAAAATAAAAATTGTCCCCAGATTTATTTTATGGCTCTTGAGATCTCCTTTAAGTTTGCAGAAAATGTTCTCTGTGAGAAACTTTTGTGATTTTCACTTAGTCTTGTAGTTCTATGAAACTTTTAAAATTCCTTATCATTCCAGGAAGATGAAAGGTAGGGAGAAATGCAGTGTAAAATCCAGGCACATAATTTGCCCAGAATCTTAGTGATATAAATCATTTCTACATTTTGTGATGTATTCCCTGTCCCTGCAAGGAAGATATAATTACTTATTTTCTTCTCCTTTGTTTGACCATTTTAGTCACATAAAAATGGTTTTTAAATGTGCCACATAATTTAAAATAAAATGCAGAAATGCAGCATTTCACAATAAATCTATTATCATCAGGCAAATGAAAAAATTGACAGTGCTACACTTCAACGAAGGACCAATCATATGACCTGTTTTTGTTCCATCAACCATTGTTTATACTTGCCCGATGATGAGAATTCTTTTATTATGAAGTGTTGCATTTATGCATTGAAAATAAAGTGAAGGTGTCTTTTTATTAGCTTTTTATTTGATCAAAAATTTAAAAGAGTTAAATTTTCAGTAGCTTCTACTGTGTTTGCAATATTTAATTTATGGGATGGAATGGCTATGAATTAATCTGGAAACATGCTGGGTAGCATATTATAATTATAATATAATACGATTCTACTTCAAATATGGATAAACACATATATGTTCAATTTTTTTAAACAGCCAAGTTACATTCACTGATGTGAATTCTATAGTTCGTTATCTGGCTAGAATTGCCACATCTGCTGGATTATATGGATCTAATTTGCTGGAACATACTGAGGTAAGAAATGATCTTCTAATTTCTTGGAGATACAGGATGGGCTTTTAAAAAAAATCTTCTAACAATATACCCCAGGTATATACCCTCATGTTATAGAAGCCTTATTTTTGAAATCTAATACAGGTAGTCCTCGATTTACAACAGTTCATTTAGTGACAGTTCAAAGTTACAATGGCACTGAAAAAAGGGACTTACGGCCATTTTTCACACTTATGACCGTTGCAGTGTCCCCATGGTCACGTGATTTAGATTCAGATGCTTGACAACTGGTTTGTATTTATGATGGTTGCACTGTCCCAGAGTCGTGATCACCTTTTGTGACCTTCTGACAAGCAAAGTCAATAGGGAAGCCAGATTCACTTAACAATTGTTACTGATTTAACAACTGCAGTGATTCACTTAACAAATGTGACAAGAAAAGCCGTAAAATGGAGCAAAACTCACTTAACAGATTTTTTACTTAGCAACCTAAATTCTGGATTCAACTGTTGTAAGTGGAGATCTATCTGTACTGTATACTTCCCTCCCTTTATGGGTCTTTTCACAGAGCAGAACCAACCATTAACTAGAGTTGCCAATGCAGTTTTCCTTTAAAGGTAAACCATTTTCCATGTAAAGGTCTCCTTGGTATCTGTGCTCAATTTCAGCATTTCCATACTGTTTGAAATTTGTATGTCAGAAAAAAAAACATACGTAAAGGGGAGTAGTAGTAGAGGACAAGAAGGGTAACTGATGAAAAGCAGCATTACACTGATGTGAGACAAGCTCCATCCCTTTTGGGGATAGCTGGTGATGTTGCATGCATGTACAAACAGTTGGAGCTTGTATCACAACTGCACAATACTGCTTTTGTTTATTTGATGAAATTACTAGAACTTACAGAGTTGTAAGTATCAGCACATTTGCAATCAGGGTTCTCCCCTTCCCTGTGGAAATGATTTACCTTGCACTACATTCATGGAACTGCTATTTCCCTTTTTGTTTTTGTTTACAGCTGATCTTTTATTCTCTCCTAAACTGCTCAGAGGGGCTCCTCCAATGAAATGATAGCTCCAAACTTGCAGCACTTGAATGTATGAAGGGCCCTTGATGTTTTCTGAGCTTGGTTGTTTTCTTGCAGAGGTTTTGTTACTTAAGCTGATAGCACTTTAAATTCTAGAATTTCATTATCTGAATAACTCTCTTTAGTTATTTCTACTACTGATTTTTTTTCTAATGAAATGTATAGGTTTTATTGGCTATAATTCAATCTTTTATGTAATTTATCAAGCATATTTTTTCTTCTTTTTCAAAGATTGACCATTGGATGGAGTTCAGCACCACAAAACTGTCCACTCCCACTGAGTTTGCTTTAGCCATCCAAGAGCTCAATAACTCCCTCTCTCTCAGAACCTATTTAGTAGGCAACTGTTTGAGCCTTGCAGATTTCAGTGTTTGGGCAGCATTAAAAGGTAAGGAAATATAGTAAATATAGTAGTATAGTCAGATCTTTTTTTAAAATTAAAATGATTAAGCTTATCAAGATGTAAAATACAAATGAAAATGAAAATAGTAGGAAAAGAGGGGAAGGAAAAGGGAAGAGAAAGAAGCAAATGGGAAAAAAGAAAGAAAAGCAGCAACTCCTGACTCGTTTTAGCACAGTAGAATAAGATAGTAACATTACAACTTTTTACTTTTATACACTTAATGTGTACTAGCCATTTCTGTAACAAAAAACCTATCAGCAAAGTCAAAGTTTAATTTTTTTTTCCATTTCAAGAACAATATCCAGAAGCGGTTTCCAAGCAGAAACAAAGTTGGATGTATTTTTTTCTTTGATTAAGTTCCATCAGTTTTTCCAACCATTCAACCATTGTAGGAATTAAAGTATTTTTTCATTTTTGCGGATAAAAGCATAAAACATCCTTGCTGCTGTGAATATAACAGCATGGTAATATCTTGATAAAAGCTCATTTATGTACTGGAAAATATGTATATAGAAGTTCATTTGCACAAATGACCATAACTTTTGAAATTAAAATCCATAGAAACTTCTCTTTATCTGGTTTTCATTATTACATTTAGGAGTACATAGAGGTTGAGGGTTGAATATCAGTGCATGTATGTGTGGTGTGTGTAAGGCACACACATTCCAACATACTTATTTACTAAAAATTTCCCCAAAGTCAGATTTACTTATGTAAAATATATTTGAAAAGTCAAATGTAAATAATGAGGACATTGATAGTCATGAACTGTCTTTAAAACATAATTAAGCATTTCTGAGATAGGCCAGGTACAGATCTCAATGCTCTAGATACCCTGGTAAAGAGTCACCTTTTTATTGCCTCACAAAATGAGACGAGAGTGGAGCCGCTACAACTTTCAAGGCCACAAAGTGCGGGACTGCTAAAATATCAGTCACCTTTTAACATCCAATTTCTAAATGGTCTAAAACAACAGCCCAAGTAGAACAAAATGACATGAAAGCAACATTTTACCAGAATAAAATATGATAATTTTACCTAATTTATTGTCTTTGATCTATGCATGGAAGATGCTATTCATTATAGCTTCCACAAATTCAGCTTTCATTTTGTAAATGCAACTCCCTTTGTATTCACAGAGGAAAATGACTTGATACAACACGTTGAACTTAAAGTTCAAATACATTTTCTTTCACCAGTTTTCCCCTATTGTTTCTCATGATTCCAACAACAAGTATACTGTCTTGTTTTTTTCTCAAAATGTAGTTAAATATCTTGGAGAATTTAAGCCTGAGTGCTTTTATTTCCCTTCTCCACAGAGTCAAATAAGATATTAAAATGCTCTCATTGCAATAGTTATTTCTCCAATTATTATTTATAATTAAGTTGCAGTTATTAATTATTTCATCTTGGGTATAAATTGTGTTATATTATCTTGCCACACGGTGTTTCCTAGTTTGTAATAAATCTTATATTTTCCAATAGGCAACAATATATGGCAGGAGCAGTTACCTCAAAATAATGGTCCTGTTCATGTAAAACGCTGGTACAAGTTTCTTGAAGCACAAAATGGTTTTCAATCTGTAGATTCCAAATGGACTGCGGGAGACACTGTTCGAAAAATAAAAGTGGTAAGTGTTCAGCTATCTCTGTTTCAGAGTGCATCAAAATATAGATAGATAATACCTGAATTAGCCATCTTTATACTTATATCCTAATGAAACAAATATGATTTGCATATAGAGGCATGCAGGCAAATACATATTCATACACAGCATGAGCATGCTTATTAGGAATGAAAAGCTTTTAAAAACCTTTTATGTTGAATTAAAACTAAAAGCAACTAAAACTGTTGCTTTTGAATCGCTAACAATCCAATATCAAATTAAAGGACATACACATATCTGGTTTGAATTAAAAATTGAATCACAGTCTTGTATTAATAAAATAATAATTGATACTTGCTTGGTGGTATTCCCTCAAATACTTGTTCCGTTTTAATGGTGGATCTATCTGGTGCAGAAACAGAATATTATTATATAACATATCTTAATATAAGATACCTTTGAACAGAATATGCAGTAGTGCTTTCATATAATTATTTATTAGTAGATCTATTATTTATTTTCATTAATTCCTGGATTCAAAATTTGCAATTGAATAATTTCTTTTGTATTTTAATTTTAAGACAACAGAAAAGAAACAAGATATTGGAAAATTTGTTGATCTCCCAGGTACAGAGATGGGGAAAGTCATTGTTAGATTTCCTCCTGAAGCAAGTGGGTAAGGTGAATTGTTCTATAACAACTCAATTCTACATGCCTTTGACAGAATGGAAGAACATGCAATTAAATGAAGTTTTGCTTTCCATTTCTATTACTATTTTTAAAAATCATTCCTGTACAGTGAAAATGTTCTCTATAAAACTGCATTTTAAAATTCCAGTGTACATGACAGACAATATGTGAATTAGAAAAGAACATGCAATGTAGTTTGCATGTTAGATTCAGTATTCCATTCTGTATTATACTCATAGTTTGGAGATGGTAAAGGGAGAACTCACACAATATTTATGGAAAGTAACAGAAGCATACAGGTAACCCTTGAGTTATGATGGTAATTGGGACTGGAATGTCTTCTGCTAAGCAATGCGTTCATTAAATCATGATATCACATGACAGCATCGCTTAGTGATGGCAATCTTTGTATTCCCCATTGCCATTGTTAAGCAAATCCACTGGTCGTTAGATGAGGACATATCCTAATTCAAGCTACTCTGCCTTAGTTAACCCTCCCAAAACAAAGCTTCAGTAAAGTTCACCTCCTATTCAGCTCCCTCACTGCCTATCTCCCCGCTTCTTCTCTGCTGTTTTGATTACTTTGTGGTCTATTACCTCTGCCAACTTTGCTGTCCTCCATTCTGCAGGCATAAATTAAATTAAATGCTTAGTGATTGGATCACTATAAGTAAGGAATAAGCAAGATTGTGTGATGCTTGTTTAGTTGTTTATTTACAGGCAACTATATAAATAGGTATGTGCATGTAGTTTTATATGCAGATGGCATAGTTGGCTAAGAACCTGAACTATTGTGAGTGTTATATATTGCATGATGCAACAATAAGTATGAATCTGAATGTTTATGAAAGACCAAAATAATTGTGTTTGACATGGAAAATGGAGTGAACAATTGCAAATTATAAATGAATGTTGAAAACCAGAAGAATCTGTGTATATTGATAGTAATTTTACAGCATTTTTGTGTGATGCTGAAGTTCTAAGGACAAAGAATCCAACCCACAAACAGTTTATGTCAATGTACTAAAATGTTGATATAGGGAGTTTCTTATTTTATTAGTAACTTCATAGTTCCTTTACGTATCCTTAGCCCTTATCTGAATGAACTCTAAAGTTGTTTCAGAAAATTTCAGCCGTGATGTACTGTAAAGGTTGACTGTAGTAAGGGGCAGGGTAATTAATGTAAGAAAGCCATTGGCTATTGATTCATGAGGCTATGAAATTGTGACTGAAATTTAAACATTGTGTAGCTTTTTATTCTAAATAAAATATATTGACTATGTGGAGTCTATTGTAGTAGGACTTTATATGTTGCTTCATTTCTTTTCTGTTTTATATTTACGTTTTCCCTTCATATTGAAACCATTAAATTATGTTGTTTTCTTCTATGATTTTATTTCTAGCTACTTGCATATTGGTCATGCAAAAGCTGCTTTGTTGAATCAGCATTATCAGGTCACCTTCAAGGGTAAATTGATCATGAGATTTGATGATACGAATCCAGAGAAAGAAAAAGAAGATTTTGAAAAGGTATTTCAGACATTCATGTATGGTTTATTTTAGAATTGAAATAAGCAAAATAATTTAGTACAGATCTTGGGTATATTCAAAGGGTATAAATAATTTTAAATACAATTCCTTTATAGGCTTGCTGGAAAAAAAATCATTTTTAAAAGTAAATGATTACAGTAATTAAAATAAATTTGGACAGTGTTGATTTCTCATCTATTTTAATGTAATGAACATTTATTTTCCCAATGAATTTTCAGGTTTTTTTTTTTTAATATGTCATTATTTTTACTGTTTTGAAATCTAACACTTGCCTTCCAATTCATTATTGCTGGCATCTTTCCATGCTACTAATATAGTAATATTCGAAAGGTTATTAGAACCCAATTAAATGAACAAATTCTGGATGATACTTTGTAGGGCTGTGGAGGCATAAGGGGGGAAATATCACACTATTTTTGAGATATTTTTAAATAATTGGTGTGCTTGGAAACTTGGTTAGGTTTCAGTTTAACAAGGTTTCAGAGTTATGTACCTTAAAACAGGTCCATGTGAATTGGATTAATAATTTATTATCTTCCAAAACAGTTTACTGTTGTTGTTTTTTATGTTGCTTTAATGTGGGTTAGAAAATTGAATAAGAAGGATTTTACTTTTAGCCAATCTGATGCCTTTGTGACGACATATAACTAACTGCAAATTGCTTATTTCATTAGAATAACAAATAATGAGATCTATGGAAGTATGTTACAGAACCAGAGGTGAAATGCTCCCAGTTCGGACCGGATCGCCCGATCTGGTAGCGATGGCGGCGGGTGGTTCGAATAACCGGTAGCAAAAATCCCTGCCCCCCCCCATGCCCAGCACGATCATCAGAGGGTCTTTTTTTTTTTTTTTTTTTACTTTTAAAAGCATTTTTTCTACAACCTCTTCCAACGAAGAAATGATAAAAGTAAAAAAAAAGCCTCTGATGATCACGCGGCTCAGCTGGGATCATCAGAGGCTTTTCAAAGCATTTTTTTCTGCAACATTTTTTAAAAAGCCTCTCTGACGATCCCAGCTGAGTTGCCTGATCGGCAGAGGCTTTTCAAAGCATTAGAAAAAATGCTTTGAAAAGTTAAAAAAAAAAAGTTGGCCACACCCACCCAGTCAAATTACCCCACCACCACCAAGCCATGCCCACAGAACCGGTAGTAACAAATTTTACATTTCACCCCTGTATAGAACATATAAATTACTATTAAATAACATTACTACAAGCCTAATTTTAAGTGAATCGAATCTTTAAAAAATATTGAAATGCTCCCATTAATAGCAGTTTTACTCTTTGCTGAGTCTACCCCTGCATTGTTCGTGTGTTAATAATGCCTGGTTATGTTAACAATATCTGCTATGTGTTATGTTCTTACTGCTTCCTGATTCTCTAGCCCAAATAGCACACAAATGCAGTATTGTACAGAGTTCTGCTCATATAGTTCCTTGCTTGTTCTCAGATTTTGCAGCAGTGATTCCCCAAATGCTTTACAGTAATTTTGGGTGATGCTGAAGTTCTAAGGACAAAGAATCCAACCCACAAATAGTTTATGTGAATTTACTAAAAGGTTGAATTGACATAGGAAACTTGTGAAACTTCTGAGAGTCCTTTAAGTGGGCAGCATTGGCTTTGTCAGTGAATTTTCTAAAATTCTGTTTCTTTAATTACACATTTACAGCTCTTTGAAATGATAAAATGTAGCAATTTAGGAGATGTTGCCATTTCTAATACAATGATAATAATAGTAAACAATTTTTAAATACCAAACTAATGTTTTAAAAATCATATATGCAGGTCATCTTGGAAGATGTTGCAATGCTTCACATTAAGCCTGATCAATTTACATATACCTCTGATCATTTTGAAAAAATAATGAAATATGCTGAGAAACTCATTCATGAAGGAAAGGCTTATGTAGATGACACACCAGCAGAACAGATGAAAACAGAGAGAGAACAGAGAATAGAATCTAAACACAGGAATAATTGTAAGATGTTTTATCAGAATTGTATCCTTTTTTAATTGAATCAATGAAACACATCTAGTATTTGGTAATTATGTCATTAGCATAAGTTACATAACTCTTCTGTGTTTGAAATAATGATTAAAAATAACCTCATTGAGATGTTGGATGCACTTAGGTTTCTCCTGTAAGCCAATATATTATTTGTTTGATTTTGACTGACTGTGATGCATGAATCAAGCCAATGGGGTTTATGAATAATGTTTAATTTATAATTGGATAATGTCAAACCAACTGAAAATAATGTTGTGGTTCAAAGACACATGCTTTGTATGTAAATGCAAATTACTTTGTAGGTAAATGTAAATTATTTTTCTTATGTAAATATTGTATTATTAGGGCAAATTTAATCCTAATTAAATATTTATAATCTGATAGCTGTTGAGAAGAATTTTCAAATGTGGGAGGAAATGAAAAAAGGAACAGAATTTGGGCAAACCTGCTGTCTACGAGCAAAAATTGATATGAACAGTAATAATGGATGCATGAGAGACCCAACTCTTTATCGTTGTAAAAATCAGCCACATCCACGTACTGGAAATATATACAAGTATGTGTTGAGGAAGAATTTCCTTTTATTTTCTTAGACATTCTACTCTACTTTTCTTTCTTTTTTTACTTAATACAACCTAGCTTCTGGTTTCTTGGGAACAATTTTAACATTTCAGTTTTTTTTTTTAAATTTTATAGCCTGATATAATCTGATACTGAATATGTATATTATTGATATATCTCTGTTATTAAGTATGGAAAGACATCCATTCTTAAAACAACTAGCAATTTTAAGTTCTTAAATTGTTTATAGTTATTCTAAATTGTTTATTTCCATGAGAAAGAGGCTAGTGACAGGACTGAATCTCTTCATCCACTGGACTTGAAGATTGGCAGATAGGAAATTCTACAAATACTTATTTTAGGTCTTTTATTGAGATATTTATAAATATACAGTTGAGCAATGTAAGAAAAATAGTTTTTTAGTCTTATTTAGTTGAGAAAGTTTATTAGGATGAATTATCTCTTAAAAAAGAGAGAGGAGAAAAACTGAACTAAAAAAGCAAGAACTAATATTGTAAAATTGTATGCCCATGAACATTTGTAATTCAGGAGGATAAATCTTGATTTAGTAGCTTTTGTAGTGACCATGAGAAAGAGTTAAGCACTTTTTTCTTCCATATTCTACCCTAAAACTGCTCTCCTGCTTCTACATACTCTTATTAATTGGAGAAATGTTATTTATTGATATTTATTTACTTTCTAGAATATTTGCATCAAGCCAAATTTGCTGTATTAACTAATATTTAAGTATGAGTTCCTGTTTTTAGATAAATCAAACACTTATCTATTTCCTCCCTTTCTGAAATATATCTAGTTCTGGGAAATAACATATTACCTAGATTTCATAATAGATTCTCCAGAATCTCCTTAATATTTTAGGAATAACCAATACTTATTGTCAGTCTATTCAAATACAGTGTAAAGTTTGCAATTGCTTTAAACATTCTTTTTCTTGTTTTTAATTTGTACCAGCAGACTGATGAATACTGTTGCTGCAGTAATTGCTTTTGAAATTTATGAATGGTAAGACGTGATATCTGTCAAGTGTGCATGAAGGTTAATTCTGTTTCTGCTTAACTTTCAGTATTTACCCTACGTACGACTTTGCCTGCCCCATAGTGGACAGTGTAGAAGGTGTTACTCATGCATTAAGAACAACAGAATACCATGATAGAGATGAGCAATTCTACTGGATCATTGAAGCCTTGGGACTAAGGAAACCCTACATCTGGGAGTACAGCCGTTTAAACCTCAACAATACTGTGCTTTCTAAAAGAAAGCTCACTTGGTTTGTCAATGAAGGGCTGGTAGATGGCTGGTAAGTGAAGCTGCTGGTGTCTGTCTGGATGCTTCTAAAATGTGTACCAGATTATTTTATTCCTATAGTCATACTGTAATTTATATGTTATTAATAAATAAAATCTCCAATTCCTTTTAAATTAAATATCCTTACACATTATCACATTTATGTGTTTGCTGTTAACAGAAGAAATAAATTATTTTTAAACATTTGCTTTTATAAGTATTCCAAAATATTGGCTTTTATGTTTTTTAATCTTGTTATTACTAGTTCATGGGCTTCATGAAGCCTTCAGATGCCTCTCTGCTTCTGTTCCTCCCCTTTCCTTTGTGGTTCATTAAGCACTCAAAAGATTGTATCATATTAATTGGGTCAATATGAAAGGATGTAAAATAATTTGTCTGAGGGGAAAGGATGATTTTCAGTGTCTAGGAGTAGTGTCTGAGTGCATATAAAGTCCATACAAATTCTGCAGCCACTAAGGTGGTTCTCAGTTTCTTTCCTAATGCTCTTGGAGGTAAATTGTGGCAATGTGTGGTAACTTGCCCAATAAAATGCATCTGGCAGGGTACGGTATTGGGAGTACAGTATTCGGGATACAATGTTAGACATAAAACAGCAAAAGATTTAGGTGTGCTCATAGATAACTGCAAAATGAGCAAACAGTGTGCTGAGGCAACTGTGCAAACAAACAAAATTCTGTGATGCATCATCAGCAGGAAAAAGGATATATATATATATATATATATATATATATATATATATATATACACACACACACACACACACACACACACACACACACACACACACACCATTTGGAATACAGTTCTAAGACCTCATTTAAAAAAAAGATTGATATAAGATTGAGCAAATGGACAACAAAAATGGTGCAAAGTCTGAGGAACAAAATATATGAGGAGAGATTATAAAGAATTGAATATGTACAGCCTGGAGGACAGAAGGGAAAGGGGTGACATGATTGGAACCTGTAAATAGATTAAGGGTGTGAACATGGTTCAATATTAAGCAAAAATCCAGAACATGGGGGCATAACCTCAAGCTGACAGGAGAAAAGTTCAAGAATAATGTTATAAATTATCACTATCACTTCACTAAAAAGAGTAGTGAAAGTTTGGAACCAATTTCCAGAGTAGGTCATAGTAGGTCAGTCATTAGTAACTGAGCTTAAACATGCTTGGGATAAACACATGTCCACCATCCAACAACAATTTAAAAATAATAATTAAAAATAATAAATTAATTAAATAAATTCAAAGGGCAGACTTGATGGACCACACTAGATCTCATTCTGCCATCAGTTTTCTATGTTTATTTGTTATTTTTATTATTTCTAGGGAAAAGACCACAAATGAAATAGATGCTAAGAATTAGCCAATATTAGAAATTGGAACTCATAAAATTTAAGATAAGGTTGTGTAAAATGGATGGGAGAACTAGCTGGTGTTTTGAATTCATAAAAGTATTTTTTTAAGCCATCCCATTTCTTCAGTATTAAAGTATTGATCCCTTTCTTCAAGGGATGATCCAAGATTTCCAACTGTTCGTGGTGTCCTTAGAAGAGGTTTGACAGTAGAAGGATTGAAACAGTTTATAGCTGCACAGGTAAGAGTCTTTATTTTCAAATTATGTACCGTATTTCCCCGAAAATAAGACCTGGTCTTATTAAAATGTTTTGTCTCCAAAAGAGGCACTACGTCTTATTTTTGGGGATGTCTTCACTGTCTCACCTCATGGTGGAGGTACCAAAAGCCTGCCCAACAGGAGCCCATTTCTGTGGTCTCTGGCTGCCACTCTCACGCAGCAACCCTGGCCTCCATTTTGCCGTCAGAGGCCTTCAAGAAAGGCCTCTGCAGCAGAGAAACGAGCTCTGACAGTGGCAAAACGGAGATTGGGTGGGGGCGCTATGTGCATCAATCCAGAGCTCATTTCTTAAATTAAAGTACTTTGATTTACAAGTTACTTCCTTCTTGCTGCTTGGTGGATATAGGATTTATGATTTTGCTTGCATTGATTGATTAAATATATGTAATTAAATATACATAAGATACTTGGCCAATTAGCAATAGAACCAGGACTGGCTTTATACCATTTATCATTGTGTATCAAATGTCTGTAATTATTACTTATTCAGATGATGTATTTTTTTTCCTTTATATTTTACAGGGATCTTCAAGATCAGTTGTAAACATGGAATGGGATAAAATTTGGTCATTTAACAAAAAGGTACATTTGTCTTTATTTTAATTTGATGACCTTTCAGGTGGAAACCTGCTCTAATGTGGATAGTGAATCCAGAATTCTCTGAGTGCACTTTCAAGACTAGTGAATGTAGTTTGTTGCTTCATCAGCCTCTTTTTCAGGAAAATGGAATGTCCTTCTCACTAACAAGGCTTACCTTAATCTTACTTAATTTTGCCAAATCTATTGAATTGTTTTTTGACTGTATGGGAAGGTAATGGTATTTTGCTAATTTTGTAAATCTGATACGAAATTCTGCATTTCATTTTTCTGCCATCAAGCTGCGAGCTATCTGTAAGAAGGTATTACTTAATGCTTTTTCTGCCTTAGCATATAGCTTACAGTAAGCATATATAGCATAAGCATATGCGGTTTCTCATATATAATCACATTTGCTCACATAACAAGAGCTATATTTATTTCCATAAAAATGCATTATTCCTATGCTAAAGAGAAAAACATGATTTCTCAATAGAGAAGAGAATTTAAAATCTTTCCAAGTTGCCTTTCTGCAGTACACAGAAGGCTATAATATTTCCTTTGTAAGATTATCAGTAAAGTTCTTTCATTGTTCTTCAGTTGAAAGATTAAAGAAGGAATACTGCATCTTCACATGATTAGTTACTTTTTGGCAGCAACTGCTTGGACACTATAATAAGGCGAACTGTTGGTGTCTCTACAATTCTATGGCTGCTCCTATTTTTTAACTTGCATCTGGATCTTTGCTTTCAAATAGGTTTCATTTTTCCTCAGATTTCAGTATTTGCTTGCCTGGCATGTGTCTTGTAGTCTCCTATAGTTCTTTTACTTTGTTCTCTTCATTTATCTGAGGGATTATCAATTGGTTCTTTCTGTTGCTGCATTAGTTGTGTAATACATTTACAAAACATAATTTTTAGCTGTTGGACTGCACACCTGTTAGAGCTGTACATTGACCTGTATAGTGACTTCTCATTGACCAAGAGTGAAGCTAAAGTATTAAATTTCCTATAAGATACTATTGGTTCTCAAGAAAGGAAAATTATCAATAGAAGCATTAGCAAAATTTAATTAGTAGAGCAGAGCAGAATCCCTCTTTTTAATGCAGTAAAAATCTGCTGATCAGACATGGACTAATTGAAGATTTTGAGTTTTTCCAAAAATTGTGGATAAAACAAGTTATTTGTATCATTGCATACTTTTTAATCACATAATGGTTGCTAGTGTATAAATATCTATGATAGGCAGCAAAGGCACAAGTGATACTTCTCTTATACATTTCTAAGAATGTCCCAAAGGTGCTTTTTTCAAGAGGCAACTGACCTTCCTTGTTTTTCTTTGAAGACATCCAAGAAGCTTCTTCAGCTCTGACTGGATGATGGGGAATGGAAGGATTTACATTCCTTGCAAACAGCTGGTCATTTCCATTCTTTTAGAGAGTCTAAAAGAGTCTTTTAGAGGTTTATCTGTATCCTTAGAGTAATCTGAATAATGCAAATCTGTGCGGAGCCTTCTTGGAACTGCTGAAATGACTGTGTTGTAGACAGGAGATAGATGATGTTGTATCGCTCCTGCTCTGTTGAGAGAGGGCTGTTCAATTTTGACATAGATGGCCTCTTTATTTATTTATTTTATTTATTGGTTCGATTTATATGCCGCCCTTCTCCGGAGACTCAGGGTGGCTTACAATGTGTTAAGCAATAGCCTTCATACTTTTGTATATACCTGCTTAGTAGGGCTTTTGCCCCCCCCCCCAGCGGTGTTCTTTTTTATACAAAGTCATCTTATTGCCCCCCTAATCTGGGTCCTCATTTTACCTACCTCGGAAGGATGGAAGGCTGAGTCAACCTTGAGCCTGGTGAGATTTGAACTCACAGTAATTGCAGGCAGCTGGCAGCTAAGTGCTACTTAACGGCACTTTAGTCCGCTGCACCACCAAGGCTCTTTGAAACCAGTGGTCCTCTCTGTTCAAAATGTGGACTTTTCTGTCTTCAAAAGAGTGTTTTTTGTTTTTTAAATGCAAATGGACTGCTGAATCCTGTCCTGATGGGTTTGTTTTCTTATGTTATGCCATGAGTTTGTGAAGAGCCTTGGTAGCACAGTGGACTAATACACTGTTTACATCTGCTGCTTGCAACTACTGCAAGTTCAAATCCCACCAGGCTCAAGGTTGACTCAGCCTTCCATCCTTTCAAAGGTAGGTAAAATGAGGAGCCAGATTGTGGGGGCAATAAGCTGACTTTATATAAATATACAAAAGTATAAAGGCTATTGCTTAACGCATTGTAAGCCGCCCTGAGTCTCCGGAGAAGGGCGGCATATAAATTAAAGCAAAAAAAAAAAAAAAGTGGAGATAAACCTCCAAGTGGCCTCAACGAGTCTCTAACAGAATGCAAATGTCCAGCTGGATGCAAGGAGTATAAATCCTTCCATTCCCCACCATCCAGTCAGAGCTGAAGAAGCTTCTTGGGTGAGAAGCAAAACATCTTCAAAGAAAAACAAGAAATCCAGTTGCCTCTTGAAAAAAGCACCTTTGGGACAACCATGATTTGGATGATTGAGAATCTACATAAACATTTCTAAGAATGTATTTCCGAGAATGCAGAATATAGTCTTTATTAGTCATGAGTGCTCTTGTTTTATGTAAATTTTCCCCTCAAAGAATATATGTCCTTATAAGTAGTAGTTTTAACAATTGTTTAAACTATTGTAATTCTGGGGATTACAATTGACATCCTGAGAATTGCTGGAGGACCAAAGTTTTCTCATGCTTCCTTAAAACCTCCAATTGTATAAAATAGTAAGTCATTGAAAAAAGATGGTAATGCTTAAAATAAATGGTTTGGTAGCGTGTTAACAACAGAAACAATATTGGTGGAAGACGCTATGCTTGAGTATTGAGTAAGTTAGAAAAATATTTTCTCAATGAAGCAGAAATAAAGGCCATTTTTAAATGAAGGGTTCTATCATAATGTTGCCTTATTATAGTGCTCTAAAGCTGTTGTATTTAAATAATCATGCTAGAATGCATGCTTTTTGAAATACATTTATTGAAAATATATGGCTTTAAAGCCAGTGATTTGGTAAGGAGAAAATTGTGGACTTTTGTATATAAAAGAAAAAGTATCAAATAAAAGTATTTTAAATTTTAGTGTGCCATTTGGCATTTTAATACAATTTTTTTTGTGCATCCCACAGATATTCTGATTCTGCCTATTTTTCAGTCTCAGAAAAGTTTATATATTAATGATAATGTAATGCATACATGTAGATATGTCTGCTTTTAAAACTGATGAGTGATAAAATGACTCAGATGCAAAGAAAAAGTTTACAGTTAGCACACATATTTAGCCTAATTACAGTTTCCTCTACATATGTTTAGCCTAATTATAGTTTCTTCCAGTTAGGAATGCATATGCTTACAAACTCTCCCAAAAAGTGATTTTAAAACATTTTTTTTCATCAAAGGACAGGAAAATTACATAAGCATATTTTGTTTTGGCTTTGTTTTATAATTTAAATTCAAGAAGCTTTAATTGCAGTCAACAGTGCAGTAACATAAAGAATACCAGTTAATATTCCTAGATGGCTTGTGTGTATATGTGTACTTTTTCATTCATATAACTCCTTGTTTTAAAGATTTTTGCTTGAAATATAAGTGAATAATTGAATAATTATATATTTTTTAATTGTTATCCTTGGGCTATAGGTTATAGATCCAGTGGCACCTCGGTTCACTGCATTGCTGAAGGATGAAATAGTCACCGTAAATATTCCTGAGGCTCAAGAAGAGATGAAAGAAGTGGCCAAACATCCAAAGGTTTGCTTAAAGAATGCTGTAATAAAAATATTGAATCATTGGAACTGACAAGACTTTCTGCACAATAAAAAGAAAGCAAAACCATATTACCAGGTTTGAATATTGTAAGAGGCTGTCAGCATTAGGAAGGCCAGCAGATGAATTAACATATAAATCAAATTAAAAAAAAAAAAAACAAGAGTTTTAAAAATGTAAATATCTTCAACCTGAGTTCAAATCCTGGTTGCTGCATCCATGCAGTTTTCTTAGCAGTTTTTTTAACTGCCTTCTTCCTGGTTGCTTTTTCAACTTCTTTTCTAATCTACACCCAGGATATCTCCCTATCTTAAGTACTAACAAGGCATAACCTTGTTTAGCTCTGAGATTTGAGCACTGCTATCACCTGTTGAGACTATGAAAGAATGAGGAGGAGTTTGGAATGGTGTTTTCAACTCTGGAGAAAAGTCCATGAAAAGAAAAAAAAGTCCTATAAAGTATTTAAATTACTGTATATTTAAATATATTAATTATGTAAATTATTTAGACATAATTTAAATTAAACATTTACATTCAAAAACACTGAAATTAAACATTTGACTACATTAAATTAAACTTCACATAATGATGGTTTGGTTTTGAATCCATCCACATCTTTGTCCAGTTCCCCCCTATTTTTTGAGCTATAGTAGTTCAAGATGCCTGTTAGATCAGGGGTGGGCAATTAATTTTCCCAAAGGGCCACATGAGAAATTGGAACTGTTTTGAACGGCTGCCGCTTCATCCTGCTACTGCCCCCGATGTTGCATCGCCACCTTGTCCTTCAACATTGATGCCCCATCTGCTTCCAGTGCCCTGCCCCCTGATGCCACTGATACCACAGGTTGGATTGGGGGCCACCTGTGGGCCACCTGTGGCCCATGGACCATAAAGTGCCTAGATTTAGATCATCTGAAAAGTTGTTCCCTCTTGTCAAGAAAAACAATTTACCACAATGACAGAGATACAATATTTGTTTCTGAATAGATTATTGTGTTGTAATTTTTCCAACACAAACCAGCTCTTTATCCTTTTCTGTTAATATACAGAATGCTGAAGTTGGCTTGAAGCCTATATGGTATAGTCCCAAAGTACTGATTGACGGAGCAGATGCAGAGACATTGACAGAAGGAGAAATGGTTACATTTATTAACTGGGGCAACATAATCATCACCAAAATACACAAGTACGTTTTACATTGGATTTTATCTTTTGAGACTGGAATTTCCCCTTCTTAAATATTTAAAATGTGTAGTGGGTAGAATCATTACAGTATATAATCCATTTCAAACCTTTTACCCCTTTCACTGCGCATGAAATTCTTGGAAACCATATGGTAGGTGATGCAGAGAACTATATTGAGGGAAAGAAGAGGGTTGAAATAACGGGATGTCATGACTTGCATGACCATAAGCTTTTTCTGTTCATACAGGAATCCTCTTAAATTTAAATAATAGATTTGGACTATTAAATTTGACTGCCATTTCTTAAGGTTCACTGATTCTTGGAAACTTAAGTTAAGGTTTCATTATTAATTTTAAAACACGCGGATAATCAAAATATTCTGTTTCTTTGTAGGAACCTCACTGGGAAAATTACATCTATGGATGCTAAATTAAATTTGGAGAATAAGGATTACAAAAAAACTAGTAAAATCACCTGGCTAGCAGAAACATCTTCTGCTTCTCTTACTCCAACAATTTGTGTGAACTATGAACACTTGATCACCAAGCCTGTCTTAGGCAAGGAGGAAGACTTCAAACAGTACATCAACAGAAATAGCAAAGTAATGTTCATATTACTATCAACTGTTGCATTTGTGCCACAAAATGATAGTCTATTCTACGTGTATTTCAAGAAACAGTGTGAAATATATGAATCCTCCTCTCTCTTTAAATCTCACTCATCCTTAAGTCTGACTTAGATTCAAATTGACCCAATAAATTCTGTGGCTGAATTGAGATTTTATCCTTTACATTTTATTTATTTATTTATTAGTTTGATTTATATGCCGACTTTCTCCGGAGACTCAGGGAGACTTACAATGCTTTTAAGCAATAGCCTTCATACTTTTGTATATACCTGCTTAGTAGGGCTTTTTGGCCCCACCTAAGCGGTGTTCTTTTTTATACAAAGTCAGCTTATTGCCCCCACAAACCGGGTCCTCATTTTACCTACCTCGGAAGGATGGAAGGCTGAGTCAACCTTGAGCCTGGTGAGAATTGAACTCGCAGTAATTGCAGGCAGCTGGCAGCTAAATACTACTTTAACAGTAGTTTAGTCCACTGCACCACATTCCTAATTAAAATTCAGCATTCTAGCCCATCTTCCATAAAATGGTATCTTCTAAGCCTTGTAGCTCCTGCCATCACTAATTATTGATGAGAGTCACATATTAGGAAAGATCAGGCTAGCCATAATTATGTACTTGATTGTATGATTGCTTTTTCTTAGTCTTTCATTTGGATCTTCATGAGTTGCTTCATGGAGAATTAAGGATTTTCAGTGTCCATCTGAAATGTAAACTTTCATGTTAACTATAGTAATTCAGCACAAGTACAGTAATTCATAATATGTATAGAATTTTGGTCTTAGGAAGTGATACAACTTACTTTTAACTTTTTTACAGCAAGAAGAACTGATGTTAGGTGATCCTTGCCTAAAAGATTTGAAAAAAGGAGACATCATTCAGCTTCAGAGAAGAGGCTTTTATATTTGTGATCAACCATATGAGCCTATTAGGTGAGTATTTAGAAACCAGCTTGATTTTAACTGTATCAGATTTGGAAATTTGGAATGGGATTTTTTTTTCAGGACTATTGAAGTAGAATTAATGTATCTGCTGCTGTCTATAAAAGTCTATATTTCTGCATTATACTTACCTAAGTATATAGAAGGGCATTACATTCTATTTCAGAAAGGAAAGTGTGATAATACAGTTTAACAACAACAAAATTTGAAAGCCAAGTAACCTACTTTCAGTGACATTTTCTCCCATTTATGGAATATGCAAATTACAAATTTAAACTTTTCTATATGAGTAAGCAGTGATTGTTATTTTAAAAACTATATTTTGAACTGCAATATTGATTATTCATGAGGCTTTAATATGGGTTTGTTATTACTGTCAAAAATAATTTTGATGTACACTATATGGAATAGTGTATTCTTTGTTTTTCACCAAATAAAAGACATTTTTCTCTTGGATTTACTGCTGTGGGGATGGATGAAATATAATATGAATGTATTTTGATATTCATTGTTGAAGCTTAACTCATGATCCACACAACCCTTCTTGTCAATTTTCTGCTGTCTTTCTTGTTCTGCACCTCCTTACAAATATATAATTTCACAAACACTTTTATTTCTATAAACTTTTAAAGTTTAACTGGTATTGTTTCATATCGATTCATTAGTCTATTTATTCAATTAGTATTATTACTATTCAATTAATTAAAAAATCTTTGTAGTCCATATAGCTGTAAAGAAGCTCCATGCATTTTGATTTATATTCCTGATGGGCATACAAAAGAAATGCCAACATCTGGCTCAAAGGAAAAGACCAAGTCAGAAACAGCAAAGAAAGAGGTAAGCAGATCCAGTTGATATATATTGTTCATCTAAAATAATATAGATGGACATTAGTGTTGCTTATAACATGTTATTATAAACTCTTTGATATTCAACAAGGACAGATGCATTTGTCATGGTTGAAATAACAAATGCACCTGTATAGAAAGCAGAATATATGATCTGGAGCAGAACATTTGAAAAAGATCTCAGGATTATAATCAATCACAAATTGATCATGAGTCATTAATGTGGTACAATTAAGAAACAATTGCTCCACATTTGGGACGGTTTAAATTCATACATTTTATAAACCGATGTTTAGGCTGTTCTGCTCTATCAATTCTTCTCTAATTGTTTCTGTTCTGTTGAATATGTTTTATGTATTTATTGTGTGATCAAATTCCAGCAATTTTTATGAAAATGGCAAGCCATTACTTCCATTAATCATCAAAAAGTGATTACAATAATATAGTTATATTCTCAATACTTTTACTTTCTGTATCTTTTGACATTGCTGAATAATTTATTTTAAGCTGGTATTGTCTGTATTTTGGATCCTTATTATCTTGTGGGTTTTTTTCCGTCATGCTGGTGTAAGGCTATAAGAAATCAAATAATTCACTGAGTCCATTTTTGCTAAAATTAGTGAGAAATTTAGTACTTACTATGTTGGGATTATAGCATGGCACTGAGGATTATACTCAATGCCATTTGCCTATCAAATACTTAATTTAATGTTAGTTAAATCAATGAAAATATAATTCTTGCAATATTTTTGCCTTTTCTTCCTTCTTATATCCATCTTTATTAATTGTGTTTGTGAGATGGGCAGCCATGTAAATAAATTAAATGAATAAAGAGATAAATGCATCAATCTTTTTCTGCTTCTACTCTTTGTTTCAATTTAGCCTTCGGATCGCCATGTAAGACTGCATACAGTATTTATTCCAAGGAAGTTGCTCATTCTTCTACTCATAGATGCTGCTGAAATTATTTTTATTTTTGCTCCCTCTTTTAAGTGTTGCCTTGTTAGGGTCAGGAATAAAGGCAACATTTTTCACATTCTGTTCATATTTATGAATGGGATTTGGATACCAGGCAATACTGGTCCCCCCCCCCCACCCACAATGGTGCATATTATACCGTAACTATTTTCCTCACTTTTGTAAATGCATAATTTGGTTTTCTTTTCAAAGGTTGGTACTACAACGAAAGGTCATTCTCCTTCACTTGGGGCTGATGTTTCTCCTACTTCAGTTTCCGCTTCAGCCCAGGATCCCTTAGCTCTTTACAGGAGGGTGTCTGCTCAGGGTGATGTAGTCCGTGATTTGAAACAGAAGAAAGCAGCAAAGGAGGACATTGATGCTGCTGTGAAACAACTCTTGGCTCTGAAAGCAGAATACAAGGAGAAGATTGGTCAAGACTACAAGCCGGGAAATCCTCCAGTTGCAGCAGTTCCCATCCAGTCGTCCAAATGTGAGGTTGTCGCCGTTACCAATGTAGACAGCAAAACTCTTTATGATAATGTAGCTGAGCAAGGAGAAGTGGTCCGAAAACTTAAAGCAGAAAAAGCTTCCAAGGTTAGTAAAGACATCAATTAGGTTACCTTAAATTATTATTGTCTGATTCTGTCTAAAGCCATATGCTCCATTTTAACCTTTGAAATCTTCATAACATATCTCTTCGTATGTTTATGGATATGAACAAAGGTTGTTAATTACTTTTCTATTTAAAGCTTAAATAGAATATTTTAGACCAACATGAACCATATTTTGCCAACTGCAGAGAAAGACTGGTTCTAGAAAGTTTTAACTTAAAAAGTTAAATGCACCTAGTTATAAAATGAAAATATTTCTGCATTTACTGATGTGATATATTGTCTCTCTGCTTCAGGATCATATTGATGCTGCAGTAAAAATGCTTCTTGCTCTAAAGGCAGAATATAAACAAAAGACAGGTCAAGATTATAAGCCTGGACATCCACCAGCAGCTCCTCTTCCTCCTTCCTCCTTGTCTTATGCTTCTGATTCTACTTCTTTAACTATGTATGGTTTGACATCTTCTAGCCAAATAGATGAAAGAGCTCTATATAGTAAAGTAGCTGAACAAGGCGAGGTAGTGAGGAGACTCAAAGCAGAAAAGGTTTCCAAGGTAGAATAATGATAAATATTCCATCTCTCTCCCTCCCTCCCTCCCTCCCTCTCTCTCTCTCTCTCTGTGTGTGTGTGTGTGTGTGTCTGTGTGTGTCTGTCTCTGTCTCTCCTTCTATTTCATAAGCATTTAACTTAAACCTATATATGTTTGACACTGTTTGCTTCAAAAATTATTTCAAAATCATTGTGAAAGAGTAAAGATATTTTCTTTACCTCTTCCACTTTAAGAAGTTATTGTAGGCATTTAATCCTAATGCATTAGCTTTCTAGCTTACGTTGTATTAGATATTTAAAAGAATCTGACAGCCAGTAATTTCTATTTTTTGCTGCATTTACTGATGTGATATATTGTCTCTCTGTTTCAGGATCATATTGATGCTGCAGTAAAAATGCTTCTTGCTCTAAAGGCAGAATATAAACAAAAGACAGGTCAAGATTATAAACCTGGACATCCACCAGCAGCTCCTCTTCCTCCTTCCTCCTTGTCTTATGCTTCTGATTCTACTTCTTTAACTATGAATGGTTTGACATCTTCTAGCCAAATAGATGAAAGAGCTCTATATAGTAAAGTAGCTGAACAAGGCGAGGTAGTGAGGAGACTCAAAGCAGAAAAGGTTTCCAAGGTAGAATAATGATAAATATTCCATCTCTCTCTCTCTCTCTCTCTCTCTCTGTGTGTGTGTGTGTGTGTGCCTGTCTCTGTCTCTCCTTATATTTCATAAGCATTTAACTTAAACCTATATATGTTTGACACTGTTTGCTTCAAAAATTATTTCAAAATCATTGTGAAAGGGTAAAGCTATTTTCTTTACCTCTTCCACTTTAAGAAGTTATTGTAGGCATTTAATCCTAATGCATTAGCTTTCTAGCTTACGTTGTATTAGATATTTAAAAGAATCTGACAGCCAGTAATTTCTATTTTTTGCTATGTATGGATACCATACATAACAGTACATTAGACTGTAATGAGAAAAATCTGTTTTGAAAAGTGACATGCAGAACTGATAGCAACAAGAACAACTAGAGAAAAATGGGTGGGTTGCATTAACCCAGACACAACCTGGCTATACTCAAAGAGAAGGTGTTAGTCGTGGTTAGAGGCCTAATGCAATTTCATATTTGTGTGCCATTTGGGCCCTTATCTGGAACATGAGGTTCTGCACAGTCATTCACGCCCATGTCATCTCTGCCAGTTACAGAGTGTGTATGCTAAGGAATTTGGGTGGGTGGGTTCAAGGAATGTTACAGAGTGTGTAAGCTAAGGAATTTGGGTGGGTGGGTTCAAGGAGAAGAGCCTTTTCCACTGTGGCCTTGACCCAGTGGAATACTCTACCACTAGAGCTGAGAATTGCTCCCACCCTTTTGACCTTCCAGAAGAGTGTTAAAACTTGGTTTCCCCATTGGACTTGGGGCCCCGAGTGGGTGCTCATCGCTGGAGGTGGTTGACAGGGTAAGAAGATCTCATCCCTGCTCCATCTATCTTGGGTCCTATTATTTATTTATTTTTTGCATAATTTACAAAACTTTAATTTGCATAAAGCAAATGTATTTCAACAAATACATTTCATTTGTGCGCAACAAATCTTTTGCATAAAATAGTACAGTATGTTACTAAGATGCTCAAGAACATATTGTTTATTTGATAATAAAGAACAAAATTGTAAAGAAAAGAAAAGAAAGTATGCAGATAGTTTTTGAGGTGGTTGTACTTATTTGCTCTTTCTTGACAATACTCACACAGGATAAAGTGGATGAAGCTGTCAAACTGCTCCTTTCCTTAAAAACAGAATATAAAGAAAAGACTGGCCAGGACTATAAACCAGGACAGTCAGCTTCATCTCAGACATCTGACTTAAAGCACCCAAAAAGCACAGAAACCAGTAGTCCTGGCTCTCCAGAAGCACAAGTTCTCTTTAACAAGGTTGCTCTCCAAGGAGAAGAGGTTCGGAAGTTAAAATCGGAGAAGGCAGAAAAGGTAATTCTACTAATTAACAGTTTCAGAAACTTGAAGAGAGCCTGGAATAAGCGTTGCACTCATTTTTATTCTTTGCTGCTATCCTATTCTTTTAAATTAAGTTGATTTCTCATTAAGTGTTGCATGTTCTAACCATTCTGAAATTACTTCAACAACATTTGCAAAATCAGTAATGTTGGCAACTTTTGGGGGAAAAAAATTTCCAATTTTCTCTGAAAGTTCATCTGGGAACCATCACTTGTCACCAAAACAACTGGTCCTTTCATACAGAACAAAACTAAAATAATTATTTTTCCACTCTTTTACTAGTTCATTCTTACTGTGTGGTAAACTAGCTGTATCATTCAGGAAAGATATATAAATCTTTCATATTTCTTTCATCTTTCAATCTTTCATATAAATTGAACCAATAAATAAATAAATAAGATGCCACATATTTTTTAAAGAATCCTAACCTTTCTTCAAGATGAATTTAGGTCTTGTCTAATGTATTTCATCAGGATTTAGTTGTTCAGCAAATGTACGCACATTTTTTGCCCTCAAATATAAAAAGAAAAATCTAGACTATTTTTCCAAGGAATTTACAGTATAATTTTTTTAAATTATGGCAGGCAATATAGGAAGAGTGGAAAAATCTCTCTTATTTTCTTAAAAAAATATTTAATTTTTAAGATATTTTTGTGTACTTCCATGCTGTATAAGGTATTTGAATACATTGTATACAAAACATAAAATATTAAGCTATACTAAAGCATATTAAACTACATTGACTAGTGGCCACAAGCAGGGGAGCTTGTGATCACCATTTGTAATCTTCCTAGCCGGCTTCCGACAAACAAATTCAATGGGAGAAGCCAGATTTGTTAATAATGATCACATGATTCACTTAACAACCACAGTCTTTCACTTGACAACTGTGGCAAGGAAGGTCATAAATGGGGCAAAACTCAATAACTGTCTTGCTTAGCAACATAAATTTTAAGCTCAATTGTAGTCATAGGTCAAGGGCTACCTGCATAATCACTGATTGGCAGCAGCTGTTTAAAATGTCAAAAAAAACGTTCTTCCAGTTTCCTACAGAAGATTCTTTTATCTTTCACTTTCTTGAATTAAGCCTGGAAACCTACATATTTTTATTATTTTTCATTTATTAAATAGATAATTTATATAGAGTAGCTCACAGCTACTCTAGGCGTCTTACAGATAATAAAAACACGGTGTAGAAAAAATAAAAGCAAAAAATAATAAAAAAATAATCTCCTCACCTCTCACTTCACAACACACACTCAAATCAACCATGTCTTCAGGGCTTTACGAAAGAGTGTAAGAGTAGGGGGCAGTCTAATTTCTGGAGGGATAATGTTCCAGAGGTAGTAAGCCACTATGGAGACATCCCTTCTGAGTCCTGCCAGATATATCTCTTTAGGGGACGAGACGCACAACATTCCTTGCCTCCCTGCTTTAGTGGGTTGGATGGATGTGACTGGCAAGAGAAGGTCCCTCAGATATTCTGGTCCCAAGCCATGAATGGCTTTAAAGGTGACAACCAGCACTTTGAATTGCATCCAGAAGCGAATTGGCAACTAATACGGCTCCCACAGGAAAGGTGACACGTGCACATTGAAACCTGCAGAATATCATGCAGGCCACAGCATTTTGAACCAATTGGAGCTTCTGGGTGCTTTTCAAGGGCCACCCCATATAGAGCGTGTTGCAATAGCCAAGATTGGAGGTGATGAGTGACCATTAGTATGGATTGTTGGTCCAGGAAAGGGTGTAACTGGTGAACAACCTGCAATTGTGAAAAGCCCCTCCTGGCCACGACTGCCATTTGTTTTTTGAGCAGGAGTCCAGGAGAACCCCCAGATTATGCACTGGGTCTGTTTGGGGCAGTGCCACCACATCCAAGATCAAAGGTGGCAATTCTTCGTGGGCCAAAGAACCCCAAACCCAGAGCCACTCAGTCTTGCCAGGGTTCGGTTTCAACTCATTGCTCCAATCTCTCTGTGGAGCGACTTTGGACTGCTTAAACATTTGGATATTTTTGGTTTGCTTCTTTATTTCATTAGATTTAGGCATAGCCCAACTCCAGATGAACTCTGGGCACCTCAAAATTTAAACAGAAATAGCAACATATAAAATGCATGAAATCCATAAAATGCAAAATAAAGCAATCAGAGTCTGTCTGGATAACAACACATATTTACACACACACACACACACACACACACACACACACACACACACACACACAAACATCTTAACAAGAGCTGCATCCATCTTACTCCATAGCTGGTTGGGTGCAATTCTAACAATGAATAATGCTTACTGTCTGCCTACAGAGTACCAAAATTTTATTTGCAACTCTATAAGCAGAATTTTTTAAAAAAAATTGAGATCTTTTATATTTTTGCTCGAGGTAGGAATTTAAGAATAGGCAAAGATTTTCATTCCTTCTGTTCACTCAGTGGTTCAGCTTTCTCTGGTTAAGATGCAATAACTAACAATGCTTTTCTAAGAACCCAGAAAAATCCATGTCTCTCTAAGTTCACTGCATCTCCCTTATTCATGCTTTTGTTCTATACTTTCTCTATAAATTATAATAATATATTACACATTTGACGCAACTAATTGCCTTCTTGGTTTCTCTTTTATTGCCTATAATTCTATGGGAATGTTGCCTTCCCAAAGGATAAAATTGATACTGCAGTACAAAAACTACTTCAGCTGAAAGCTCAGTACAAGCTGTTAACAGGAGTGGACTACAAACCAGTTTCTACAACTGGTGCAGAAGATAAAGACAAGAAGAAAAAGGAGAAGGAGAACAAATCTGAAAAGCAAAATAAGCAACAAAAACAGAATGAGGGACAGAAGAAAGGAATGCAGAAAGACCAAGGAAGTAATTACAATCTGTCTTCTGATGGACCAGGGGATGGTCAAGGACCTAAAAAACAAACAAGGTAAAAGTGTTAAGATATAATATAAGATATAATACAAACATTGTGATAAACAGAAGAGCTAATTTTCAAATAATTACACAGAATAGCTTGATTTTATAGCTATTTTGTAATTTTAATCTATGTGGACTTCAATTTTAGATTTTTCAATTGAATTGATTTTTTTTTTTGATTCGGCAGACTTCAGATATAAAATGACACAATTTTAATTCAGGCTTCACCAATAAATAACAACACCAAATAACAATAAAACTGTAAAGGCGCAGTGGCGCAGTGCTTAGAATGCAGTACTGCAGGCTACTTCTGCTGACTGCTGGCTGCCTGCAATTTGGCAGTTTGAATCTCATCAGACTCAAGGTTGACTCAGCCTTCTTTCCAAGATCAGTAAAATAAGGGCCCAGATTGTTGGGGGCAATATGCTGACTCTGTGAACTGCTTAGAGAGGGCTGTAAAAGCACTGTGTAGCGGTATACAAGTCTTAAGTGCTATTGCTATTGCTATTGCTAATATGTTGCTTCTAAAGCTGTCAGGGCAATTTATGTCATTTACATACCTATATATTGCTTACAAAATTTGATATAATTTAGCTCCAATGGCTCTGTTAGCCTGTAAAAATCAAGATTTTACCATGCATACAGAGATGATATGCATGCAGTAGTATTTTTCATAGTAACATACTATAGCAAGGACTTTTTTTCTGACCTTCAATTGTAATTGAACAATTTTAACTATGTTGTCTGTTTAAAATTTATTCAGTACCAGCTATTTCCTTGATCATGTGTAAAATGTGATATAATCTCAGCTTTGAAAACAAACATGAAATAAGAGAAAGTAACAAAGACATAATTATGATGCTTGAAGTGATAATGCTTCATGAAAGAACTTTACAACTGAAAGTGATTTTAAGGAGCAATTAAGGAAATTATGGGAAGCTGGCAAAGAGTCCCCCCCCCCCCGAAAAAGTAGCAATAGAAATGAGCCATTTATGTTGGCAAATCCAGAATTTTCAGAATATTTAGATTTTAAAAATAAATTATATATCTCTAAGTATATGAAAAATATGTTGGCAAAACCAGAGATATCAAAATATTTTGTCTTTTTAAAATAAACTGTTGTATCTAAATATGGACATATAATATGATTTAATCTTCTTTGTTAGAACTGAAGCTCAGGAATAAGTATTTTCTATTTTTAATATAAATGTTGCAATAAAAAGTAAACATTAAAATTTTATTTTTTGTTTCCGGATTATATACTGAATATGTAATTTAATTTTTTGAGGTAAAATATTAAAACAAATAAACTGTTGCTGTATTAATTCAGCAATTATTAACCAAAATGTATTAATTTTTTCTCTCTTTGCTACAGATTGGGTCTAGAAGCTAAGAAGGAAGAAAATCTAGCTGAATGGTATTCTCAGGCAAGTATATCTCAAATGGACATATTTTTCCTCAAAATGACTTGCTTGTAATAACTTAGTAATTGGTGTTATGTAAATTATATTCTTAACATACCAACGTTAACTCAAAATCTCAATATATTTTTAATGATTAAATCTTTAAGGTCAGATCCAGAGTTCATTACTGAAGTAATGGTAATAGAAAATCGTTAATTTCTGTCCATTATTGTTCTGTAGCTGGTACTTGCCACACCTAATGGGGTGGGCTGATGTTACCAGGGATAGGGTTGATTTTTTTTTTAATATAGTTACTTTTTATAGGGAATTTGGATAGTACATTTCTGATAAAAGTGAATTCTACCTAACATACAATTTCCTTGAAATCAGAGGGCTATATTTAATTCTAATTCTGATTCAATAGTATTCACAACCTAAATAAATATATATATTACATGTACATTATTTATACTCCACTACGATGCCATGTGACTTGACATTTTACAGAAAACATCTGCTGTCTGTATTAAAATTGTTTTAGAAGAAGCCCCTCTATCTCTGGGTACTTCTGTCTTTTTTTCACTTTAATATTTCTTATTTCATTCCACTATTTTATTGAATGTTTATTCTTCTGTGCACTCAGCAACATTATCCACGACTAAAGCATATTTATTTTAAATAAAGGTAATTACTAAATCAGAGATGATTGAATACTATGATGTCAGTGGCTGCTACATTCTCCGTCCATGGGCTTTTTCAGTATGGGAAGCTATCAAGGACTTTTTTGATAGTGAAATAAAGAAACTTGGAGTGGAAAACTGCTACTTCCCTATGTTTGTATCTCAAGCTGCATTGGAAAAAGAGAAGACGCACATTGCAGATTTTGCTCCAGAGGTAAATTTAAATACTATATAAATTTTGCTCTGAATATGCTGCAAAGATTTCAAAAGACTAGCCCCAAATAAAACTTTGTGACCAGCAAAAAGTAGCCATGTGTATTTAAAGGAGCTGGTTCTTGGACTGGGCATTGAATTGTGTATCTTTGAATGCTTATATATCTTAGGTTCTCAGTTAGTCAAGATAAAAGAAATAGTCTAGGAAGGTAGTTCTTTTTATATCAGTATTAATTAAATTGTACTTCCCATATTGTTAAAAATACTTGGTGTGTGTATATATGTGTGTGTGTGTATAAACAAAATGTTTGTAAAAAGCAAAACATTATCTCGTTTTTAGGTTGCCTGGGTTACCAAGTCTGGCAAAACAGAACTGGCAGAACCAATTGCTGTACGTCCTACTAGTGAAACAGGTAACAATGACTGGTGTAAAATGCAGAAGAAAAACACTAGATTTTCCCTTAATGGGGTGCTACTGCAAGCTAATGACAGTGGATTTTGAAACAAGAATAGATTTGTCTTTGATTCAAACCAAGAGCTATCAGAGTGTTGCTAAGAAGCACACCACTTCAAGGAAAGGGGGGATGGAAAATATGGATTGGTTTTTAACTGAGGTAAATTTGAGACAAAGTCCACTTAAATCAATAAATCTATTAGAAATATAATTATGTTTGGATTATAAAATTGTATTACCCATTTCCTACTTATAAAGGAACTTTTAAAAATTCTACAAAGTGGGTGACAATATCCAACTTAAAAAATTAAATAAGAACCCCAACAAAGAAGGGGTTAAAACCATAAGTACTAAATCAGATCAGGGAAACGGCAACTTCAGTTTAACCCAGGGGTGTCAAACTCATGACCCATGGGCCAGATGCGTCACACGCTGGCTATGCCCACCCCTGGTTTAGAAAAGGGGGAAAAAGTCGCAATACATCATGTGACGACAACGTGATGTCGCAAGTTTGACATCCATGGTTTAACCAAATCAATGCCTGAGTAAATAGAAATGTGTTAAACTGACCTCTAAACTTACAAGCCCTACAACTCCAACTGTATTGAAATAGGAAAGAAATTCTGCAACTTGGGTAATTATATTAGCAAGGTCCTCTTTTGGAATGACACACAGCAGTTGCAGGACGCTTAGGAGGGCACCTCTACTAGATCTTATTTGATGGCAGGCACTGAGAGAGCAGACCCTTAGTCTGTTACTGATACCTTGAAAATCAACTTAATTTCAAAATAAATAACAGATTACTTTGCACTCTTTCAAAAAATATTATCTTCCATGTTTTTGACTTGTAGTAATGTATCCTGCATATGCAAAATGGATTCAGTCCCACAGAGATCTTCCAATCAAGCTTAATCAGTGGTGCAATGTTGTAGTAAGTAGAGGTTTTTACAGAGTATGTTTTATTATTTGCTAGTTAACCAGTAATTGTTGCTCCTGTCTCCCATTACAGTGTGGTAAAATCTTGCTTCTCCAGTTGCACTGGAGGAGTACAGTCAAACTATCTAGCTTGACCTTCCCCAAGACATGCACTTGCTACCATTACCAGCTCATCTACCCCTAGCCTGAATGAGTCCTCCCAGAACTTTATTGGAACCCAACCAGCCTAGCCTTGCTGGATCTGGGCTGATATACATGGCTTCCCAGAACAGTCCCGCATAAAACTGGCCTAATTTATCCAGACCCATTCTACCTGCTTATATGCCAATGTTAGGTTATATATGCCAGATGTGTCCAAAGCTGGCCTGTTTGATCACACCCTTTTGTTTTAAGGGACACAGCGTTTTCTATAGATAGCTTATTTGGCCATAACTGGGCCCTTTCGCTGACATGGCTGTGTTTATAATCAGCCAAATTGAGCATCTTGTTCCACAAACCCTTAGGAAGGGTTACCTGGGGAAAAGTTGCAGGTAAATAAAAGAAGAGAATGAGAAAAGATAGGCAGAGGAAATAATGTTCCAAAAATATAATGCATTATATTATTCACAAACAGCAGATATATAGTACATAAGCTGCAAAAATTGTAACTTCTGTCATTAAATATCTGGCCATTGGTGTTAATGCAGTTTTAATGAAGAAAAAACTTAAATATAGAAGTCAGTGTTTAAGGTCTTAAAAGCAGCCATAGAGGAAACATCTTGGATAAAAGAGTTTCATAAAGCTGGACTCATATCTCAATAATTTCCAAACAGGCATTCCTTTATGACGCCACCAACATTAAATCCTTAAAGGGCATTCAAAGCTTTTGTCTCGCAACAGAGGGCAGGAGCTGTTCCTCAAGTGGGCAACAAGACTGTAGAAATTTACCTATCAGTTTGAGCCCTTTGGATTTAACTCAGACATCTATAGGAACCCATGGTGGGAATCCCCAAATGGAAACCCGGCTGCTCTATTTTGATCCACTATAGCATGGCATCAAACTCACCCTGTCACATTGTCGTCACGTGACGTATCACACTGTTTTTTCCTTTCACGGAACTGGGGTGGGCATGGCCTGCATGTGACGCATGCAGCCCGTGGGTCGCCAGTATGACACTCCTGCACTATAGTTTCAAATTTTTCTTGAGAGGCATCCCTATACAGGTCGTCATCGACTTACGACCACAGTTGAGCCGAAACTTTCTGTTGCTAAGCCAGGCAGTTGTTAAGTGAGTTTTGCCCCCTTTTGCGATCTTTTTTTGCTCCAGCTGTTAAGCAAATCACTTCAATTGTTAAGTAAGTCATGCAGTCATTAAACAAATTGGGCTTCCCCCATTGACTTTTCATGTCAGAAGTTGGCTGGGAAAATTGCGAATGGTGATCACATGAGCCCAGGACAGTGCATCTGTCATCAATACGTGCCAGTTATAAAGCACACAAATTTTGATCACAAGTCCACAGGGATGCTGCAATGGCGATGAATGTGAAAAATGGTCATAAGTCACTTCTCAGTGCTGTTGTATTGAGTTACTAAACATTGAGCTGAACGGTCACTAAATGAATTGTTGTAAGTTGAGGACTATCTGTATAGACTATTAGTCTGCCAGGAGGGAACTAATACATGGCTGAAGGTAATGATAAATGAACGTAATATATTGTTCCAGTGATGCAGATCATTCCCTTTTAAATAGGTTTTTTCACAGTATGTGAGTGAAACTGTAGATCCCTAAATTTCTTAAATCATAACTTATCATTAGAGACAATAGTTCTGAGTCATGCCCAAAAGATGTCTTTAAAAGTGAATCTATTGATGAAGATTATGATTTGAACAAAGACTTGTTTTTATTTTTATTAAATTGCTTCAAGCGCTGGGAATTCAAGCATCCACAACCATTTTTGCGTACTCGTGAATTCCTTTGGCAAGAAGGACACACGGCATTCTCTACTTACGAAGAAGCAGCTGAAGAGGTACCACATGCCATATAATTTTTTAAAAGCATTGCTTAACCTTTCAAGGTCCCAAAGGTGCTTTTTCAAGAGGCAACTGGACTTCCTTGTTTTTCTTTGAAGATGTTTTGCTTCTCATCCAAGAAGCTTCTTCAGCTCTGATGAATCTTCTTGGATGAGATGCGAAACATTTTCAAATAAAAACCAGAAAGCCAAGTTGCCTCTTGAAAAAGCACCTTTGGACCACAATCTCCATAGGCATTTAACCTTTCAAGGCTTTCAAAGGATAAATCAGAAATATTTGCCTAAATATTACACTGCTATTTTACACCTAGAACAAATATTTTTAAGTTTTGCATATACACTTGTTTATGTGGGTGAAGGTTTATGTCTACATAGTATATTGGAATGGACAGCTGCAACAGACTAATCATCATTATCATCCTAAAAAAAACAGCTATCTTCTCTAGGAAGCTTCTCTGACAAGTGCATTTGCAGAAACAGCACAGTTCACAAAAATGCCACCATTACATACGGTACTTAAAGTTTGATGCAAATCTTCAAGCTGCAACATTTGCATTATGATATCACATACGTTATTTTTGCCCCATGTGCTGGTAACCATGCTTCCTGGGAGAGAACAAAGATTTGATAAATTAATGAATTGTTTTTATGCTTTTGGGAATACCTGCAATGCAGTAGTGAATCTAGCTGTATTTTCCTGTTGTATGCTGCGAGGTTTATAATTATATATTTGATTGCTACTTGCTCTTCTTGGTGCTTGTAAAATCAATATATTTTAAAATAATTTTATTAAAGATGTAAATCTTGTAGGAGGAGTACAAATGCAAAGTTAAACAAAAATCACATTTAGTTTAGGCATTGAGCTATGGAGTTGAAGAATAGCTGAACATTTATTTTAAAAAATCTGCAGTATTCATTGCGACTGTAGTTATTACTACAATTTAAACCTGCAATTAATGGCAGAATCTTAATCAGAACAACTAGGTTTGTTTCTGATTGAGAATTCTTGGCTTATAGGACACTATCAAATATTAAAATCCTTTGAGTATACATACTTAGAAAATTAAATGATTTCTAACTTTTTTGCTTGCTAGGTATTGCAGATTCTTGATCTATATGCTCGCGTATATGAAGAACTTCTTGCAATTCCTGTTGTGAAAGGAAGAAAGACAGAAAAAGAAAAGTTTGCAGGTGGCGACTACACCACAACAATTGAGGCATTTATATCCGCAAATGGGCGAGCTATCCAGGTACCGTACCAAATTCATTGTTTACCATAAATTCATGCATAGAAGTTTACTGAATGCCTTTTTATTTTCTTGTATTTTAGGGAGCAACATCTCATCACTTGGGACAGAATTTTTCAAAGATGTTTGAGATTGTCTTTGAAGATCCCAGAATACCAGGAGAGAAACAATTTGCTTATCAAAATTCTTGGGGCATTACAACGCGTACCATTGGTGTTATGACCATGATTCATGGAGATAACATGGGTTTGGTGCTGCCACCTAGAGTAGCATGTTTTCAGGTGAGTTAAAATGATACATATCATTGGATGGCTTTTTTCTTTTTTTCCTTGCCATTTTGTAGAAAGGGGGATGTAGACAAACTAGGTTTATTATTTATTTATTATTTATTTATTAGTTTGGTTTATATGCCGCCCTTCTCCGGAGACTCAGGGCGGCTTATAATGCTTTTAAGCAATAGCCTTCATACTTTTGTATATGCCTGCTTAGTAGGGCTTTTGGCCCCCTTCTAAGCGGTATTCTATTTTATACAAAGTCAGCTTATTGCCCCCACAAACCGGGTCCTCATTTTACCTACCTCGGAAGGATGGAAGGCTGAGTCAACCTTGAGCCTGGTGAGAATTGAACTCGCAGTAATTGCAGACAGCTGGCAGCTAAATACTACTTTAACAGTAGTTTAGTCCACTGCACCACCAGGCTCCACCACCAGGTTTAAGCTACAGTTGACTAGTTCTGAAGTCCTAATTACTTCGGCTGTAGTTACTTGTCCTGTAAATTTTAGAGAATCCTAAACATCTGTAATTTAGTCCCACTTACATTTGGGTTCAGTCCTTCAACAATTGGCAATCAAATTTAGCTAGGGAAAGCTGTATTCAAAGAGGGCTACAGTGCAGTGTTCTATCTGGTACCACAAGGGGGCAAAGAAGGCCGTGTACTATGCGTGGTGCCATCATCTCTGTTCTGCTGTGGCAGCAGGTAAAAGTGCAAGTAGATGCAACCTTTTATATTGCTATTGCATTCTGAGGTTTTGAATAGACAAGTAGAGAGGAAAAAAGGGGCTAAGGTAGAGATTCTGATTTTATATAAAAATAATCCTGTCTTTCTTAGCAAATTGGTGTGATTGCAATACTTCACTGTTGTTTGTTTACTTGTTTTTATATGCTTTAATAAATGTGTGCAGACACAAAGTAAAGTTGGAATCAATTATTAGCATGAGAAAAAATGTTTAAAAGGTTCTAGTATTAGAAAGAGTTGTTCAGAAATGTACTAGACTCCAAGTATGAAAATTAGGAATGATAAATTATATATTTACAATGCTTTCTCTTCGAGAAAGGTAGAAATTATGAAAGAAAGATATCATTAATGAAGGAAGAATGCATGACCCAAATAGCATGACATAGTGAAAACATTGCCAACATATTTTAATTTTTATATCCCTTTCCTTTGAATTAGATAATTTGAGTAATTTTCCATAGTTTTTGGATTGCCTTCTTTAAAAATTATAAAAATCCATCCTACACATTTTATAGCTGTATATTATAATCCTTGCAAGTAGCACATTAATTAATGGAACTATGCAACTCTTTGGAAAACATAAATTATATATCTGGGACGTCTTTCCTGAAGCAGATGCATATATTTTCCAGGGTTATGCTTCTTTAGGAACTGCTCCTTATACACGCAGCTGCACAACAGCTTCATTTAGTGAGGCTTTCTTCTGTCTAGCTTTATAATTACTGGGTCCTTATTCAGGTGGTGATTATTCCTTGTGGTATCACTAATTCCCTTTTGGAAGAAGAGAAGGAGGCTTTACTGACAAAATGCAATGAATATTGTAAGAGATTGCACATTGCTAATATCCGTGTGCGAACTGACTTGAGAGAAAACTATTCACCTGGCTGGAAATTCAACCACTGGGAGCTGAAGGTAAATATTTTAATTCTGTTCTCTTCTGATTAATTCTTTATTGCAAGCTTTTTCACTTGTATAATTTGGCATTGGAAGTATATATAGAAAATACAAATAAAAATGTAAAATAAATGTAAAAGTCAGTACATATTGATAAGTTGTACTTTATCTGAGTACATGCTGCCACCTGCTATTTGGAGAGGAATCATCCATTCCTGAGTGTCTATGGGATGAACATTTCCATCTGTCAAAATTATTACCTCAGTGCTGAATCTTGGAAAAAGTACTTTTTTTCCTATAAACCAAGCTTCCCAATCTATCCTTAGTGGAAGAGGTTCCTTAATATTGGCTGTTGAATTGAAGAATAATTTGTGTAAAACGTTACATTTTAATAGATCTAAGCTTGGGAGTCATCAGCATAACCCAAAAGAGTGTTTTGCCATTATGTTTTGCTTAATAATAATATCCTAATATTAATAATATCCGGAAAATATGAAGAAGAAAAATACACTCTCTTTGTGACTATTTGTCTTACAGGGAGTTCCAATCAGGCTTGAAGTGGGACCACGTGATATGAAGAATCATCAGTTTGTAGCTGTTAGAAGGGACACAGGAGAAAAATTGACCTTTTCTGAAAATGAAGCAGTGAACCAGCTCAGCCGTATTCTGGAAGAAATCCATCTTAATCTTTATAACAGGTTAGACTTGGGGATGGGGAAAAGGGAGTGTGATAGAATGGAGAAGATAAACACCATCTGCAGGCCTATTACATGATTTCAAATACATGTAAACTAAGCCTACAGTAATAAATGAAAGATAAGAACTAAACAAGGGCATCTGAATTCCAAGCAGAAGATTAACTTGCAGAAAACAGTGAGGCCACCTCTGAAATTTACACAGTCCAGAGAAGAAGTAGAATGTTGTTTGGTTTTCCATACAGCTGGAGATCCTACTGTTAGATAAATGCCATCATGGTGAGGATACACTCTGGGTCACAGACAAACAGACTTCTGCAAGTGCCAAGTCCAGAGAGCAGGACATGCCCTGAAGGGCGTGCATGCTTGGGAGGCTGATTAATTAAAAAAATTAAGGAACTTTAGCCCTTAGTTGTTCAAGGCTTTGTATAATAGAACTTTAAATCTGACCTGACAGCAGACTGACAACCACTTTAATCTTTTTAGGACAGATATAATATATACCATATTTTTCGGAGTATAAGACTCTCCAGACTATAAGACGCACCTACCTTTTTGGGGGAGGAAAACAAGAAAAAAATCTGCCTCTGCCTTTCAGCATCCATCCGTTATTCATCTGGCCCGTTTGCTGTGGCCAAATACCCAATCAGCCGTCTAGCAGCTTAATCTATGCTGGTCGTATTAAGTATTGCTGAGTGAGATTTGGTTACACTTTAATATGGGACTCTCAAGTGAATTTAATATGTGGAAAAAGTTAAATGCATATTCAAGAAAATTTGAATATGAAGGAACTATAAAAGATTGTTTCACCTTTTTAATGTTTTAAACAACTTGATTCAGTAACTTATGTAAGTTTACTGAATCAGGTTGTTTAAAACATTAAAAAGGTTCATTTACAGATCATCCTCGACTTATAACCACAATTGGGAGTGGAATTGCAGTCATAAATTTGCAATTCATGTCAAAGCACCCATGTGATTGGATCTTTGTTTGACCGTTTTTACATCAGTCATTAAGCAAACCACACGGTACTAAGTTCAAAATCATATGGTTGCTCTGGATTGTGTGGTCATTAAGTGAATCCGTTTTGCCACCGGCAAAAAAAATTAACAAAGTGCAGTTAGATGACTGCAGGATGCTGCAACTGATCATAAATGCGAGCACCTGTTTTGAAGCCGTCATAACTTTGAACAATCATTAAGTGACTAGTCATAAATCACAGACTATCTGTAACTGGAATGAACGTTTTCTTTATCTTAGAGCTGCTGAAGATCTTAAGAGTCATATGGTGGTGGCCAATTCCATGGAAGAGTTTCAGAAAGAGCTTGATTCTGGAAAGGTAAATAATTTGCCATTGCACTGGGGCTATGAGTCCCTTCCTATGCATTCTTAAAACCCAATAAACAGTAAATGCAGTAAAACATGCATTCATGAGATTTTTTTAAAAAATATAACTGCTAGGATTCTGGAAGCTTTCTTTATCCTGGAACAGAATATTATGGAGAATTCTGAAATGCTCCATTTCCCTCAAACCATGAAGCTTTCCCCAGACTATGCTGTTGTGGAATGCAGCTTGCTTATTTAAACAGTGAGAGCTGGAGTGGTGCCAAACTGTTTTAACAATGGCTTGGTCCTGAAATAGAACTTGGAATGCCATGTCTAGTACATCTCAAAATTACTTCAAGTTAGGAGGATTTACTTCTGGGAATCACAAAACATCCCTTGGAACATCACTATGTCAGAAGGAAGTATGGCAGGTCTGGAGAAAAACTAAACATTCTGGAGTTTCCAGAATGTTTCAGTCCCAGGACAACAAGCTTTCTGCATCACTAAAAAGGAACATTTGATCCACATAAACTAGCTCAAGAATTGCAGACAATGCTTTCAATTATAAATCTGGATGAATGAATAATGTATATGCGAGCAATGCAGCCAACAAATTGTTTGTTTAGTTATTCATTTTAAAACATGTTTATCTATTAGCTTTAATTAATACAGCAGCTGCAGTTAACCACTCTGGATGTTTTGTTTCAAGTGAGTTCTTGTTGGGCATATTCCCCACCAGACTGCTAATTCAATGATATGGAGATGTTTCTCTTCTATCAGAGTGGCAATGGAAGTGAACTATGGCAAGTAGTTATCAGAAAGATAACATAGGAATAGCAACTACTTTCAGCTTCTCTCTTTTCAAAACATTTGTAAAGGTAAATGCTGTCACCCCACCACTTGCTGTCTTGCTTTATCAGCAGAAAAAAAACAGCAAGTTGAATGTCTGATCAGACTCTGTAATGGGAATAATTGTAAAATAATTTAAAATGATATAATTAATGCATTCAGTTCATAGGACACGCTATTTGCGTCAAGAAACCAATTCTATCTGATTTAAATAAGGATTATCAAGTGCATGCAAAGATGTCAAAAGACAAGGGGTTATTGGAACTGATATGATAGAGCAATAAAATACTTTTTGCTGCAATAAAATATTGCTGTTGGTTTATAGAAAGCAAAGTTTACTTCTTGGTTTACAGTAGGTTTATTCTAAGGCACCACTTACCTATTTGGCATAATATGTAAAATATAACTTCCTTTAGAATAAAGAAAATACTTGACGAAGATAGGCAATATCAATTAGAATTCATTAGATATAATATAGATTTGGAAGGAAGTGCTGAAGAAGTGCAGGGGAGAATGGATAGTTTGATCCACTCGTTCAGGGGTCCCCAACCTCTGGTCCGTGGACCAGCACCGGTGCATGGCATTCCAGAAATTGGGCCATGCAAACAAGCAAAGCCCCATCCATGGGATGCAGGCAGCATGTGAAGCCACACCCCCTCCAGTCCTCGGAAAAACCTCTCTCCATGGAACTGGTCCCTGGTGCCCCAAAGGTTGGGGGCCACTGCACTAGCTCTGTTCTGTTGCACTGATGGATGTGGATAGAACTTTTATGAACTTTGAGTTTGAATAAATTTCTATTTGTATCAGTTTAAGATTTATATAAATTGGAATGAGTCTTGGTCACAAAATGCAACTGAATTATTAGAGATTACAGATAGTCCTCGATTTACAACAGTGCATTTAGTTTGAAGTTACAACAACATTGAAAAAAGTGACTTGTTTCCAAACTTACGACTGTTGCACTATCCCCATGGTCACATGATCAAAATTCACATGCTTAGCAACTAATTCATATTTATGACTGTTGCAGTGTCATGGGGGTCATGTGATCGCCTTTTGCAGCCTTCTGACAAGTAAAATCAATGGAAAAGCCAGATTCACTTAACCACCGTAGCTGGTTGAGGTGGCTTAACAACTATAGCAAGAAAGGTTGCTATAGGGCCTGGTGGCTCAGCAGACTGATAGCATTGTGATTAACAACAGCTGTCTGCAATTACTGTAAGTTCGAATCTCACCAGGCTCAAGGTTGACTCAGCCTTCCATCCTTTCTAAGGTAGGTAAATTGAGGACCCAGTTTGTGGGGGCAATAATCTGACTTTGTATAAATATACAAAAGTATGAAGGCTATTGCTTAACACATTGTAAGCCACCCTGAGTCTCCGGAGAAGGGCGGCATATAAATCAAATAAAAAAAAAAATGGGGCAAAATTCTTTTAGCAAATGTCTCACTTAGCAACATAGGTTTTGGGCTAATATACTGACCACAATGTATATCAGAATACTAAAAATTATTGTAAGTATTTGCAAAGAAGTTTTTTTTTCATTGTTAAATAGAAAAGATAAAACTTTATGTTGCCCTATCGCATCTGGAAAATGCACTGGAAATTTTGAAATTTTATTAGAATAGTAACAAATTTTTGAAAACAGAATCAGAAATTAAAGCAGGAATTTTGCCTTTTATCTTCCATTGTTTTGTTAAAATAAGGATGAGCTCTACATTTGTCTCTTCACAGTGTTTAGTTTTTTTATTATAAAGATTAGATTTCCCTCCAAAAGTCTGTGGTTTAATTTGTTGTTTTAGGTGATTTCACTAATGAGGTGCCTTTATGCTTTCATTAAATGTGCATGTTAAAGTCTTACAAGACTTAAAGAAAACATTGAATAAATCTTAGCAGTTGTCTATGTTCTGAATATACAAAGACAATTTATAAGCTAGTAGAGTCAGTGTGATTTCTTTTAAGATAGCTGGAGTTACTTTAGCTCTTTGGTATTGCAAATCTAAATAGAGAGCCACTAAAGCAATGGATATTATTACAATTTAATAAAATTTTTATTTAAAAAGTAACTCTTGCTTCTTGACCTCTAAAATATATGCATGTTTTCTTATTTCAGATAGTGCAGATTCCTTTCTGTGGAGAACTAGAATGTGAGGATTGGATCAAAAAAACAACTGCCAGGTAAGAGAGAGAGAGAGAGAGAGATGTGTTATGTAGATGAGTAAAAGAGAAAGAGACTTTAGAATGTATATTTTTCAGTTACAACTTATTTTATGTGTTACCGTTTAAAAACCAGAAAGAAAATTTTGTAAAAATTTGCGTGACTAATGTAAAGAACTAACTTATGAAAAATATATCTGTATGAAACAATGGTGACATAATGTGTGTGTTGGTGAACAAAAGCAATGGCCTGCTGGATTGGACCCCTGATCCATCTAGTCCAGCACTGTTCTCATAGTGACCAGCAAACTGCACAAAGAAGCCCAGAAGTTTCCCAGCAGATGGCTTTCAGAGGCAGTCTTACATCCTTCAAGGCTAATAGAATGTAATTAATTTATTTGCTTAAAGATGTTTTAACTTTTGTAAGGTAAGCACTAACTAGGACATACCTGACAACTTCTAACTGACGAGAACAAGATGTTCCAAATTAAATAAGCTGGGAATCGTACAAAAAATCCTGCTTTCTGTTTCAGAGATCAAGATCTTGAACCTGGCGCTCCATCCATGGGAGCAAAAAGTCTCTGCATCCCCTTTAAACCACTTTGTGAGCTGCAGAATGGAGCAAGATGTGTTTGTGACAAGAACCCTGCAAAGTTTTACACTCTCTTTGGACGCAGTTATTAAATTACTGTTGGAAATGATAGTTTCCTTATATTTCAACTCAACTTTTTAAATTAAAGACTGAGATGTTTCCTGATACTATCCAGGTTTTTGTTGTTACTTTTTAAAAATAGCAACTAACAAAGCCATAGAGAGTCATATCCTTTCAGTGCAACTTGCAGTATTGCATAAACCTTTCTGTATACAGTATCTCTATAATAAATAAGTATTGTCATCTATTACTTGCTCTATTTTTTGTATTAATGAAGAAAACTTACTTGTCTAGTGGGTAATCATAGAGTCATAGGTGTGGAAAAGTGTTTAGAGAAGATATAATAGCATTTCCTGCTCAGTGTAAGATCCATTAGGGCTAAGTACTTGCAAGTCTGTCTATGTTCAATTATCTCTGCCTGTCCCACAAGATCTGATATGCCCTTCTATATTGAGTCTTCTGGTGAGATCCAGGAGACATGTCTTCTATATCATGGCATATGTCCTCTGGAACACCATACTCCTAGATTCAGTGGGTCTAACTGATTACTCTTCTGTAAGAGCTTGAGGATCTGGCTTTTCCATTGGGCATGGGCAGGGTGTTGAATAAATCATCTGTTAAGAATTAAGTGATTGTGAACTATCATTGGCTATGCTTTTAAAAATCTTTTTATGTTAATCCTACATTATATATCCAGAATTACAATTGGGAATTAGGGAGGTACATACAAGTTTTATTTTTATTTTCTTTAAATTAAAAAACATTTTTTTAAAAAATAATAATAATAAGGCCTCTATGGAGTATTTGGGAGTATCAGAAATTTTCTTGGAAAAAAAGAGAGACACTTAACTTTGCTAGCTTTCCAATTTCTTTTTAATTACAAGACCCTAAAAGAAAAAGAAAAACTAAATCAAATGGGACAAGGGAACTTGGAAGGCACCACTGTAGTTATGTCCAGACTGATAGGCTCCATGGAGACCCAAGCATGAAGTTTTCCAGCGATGCAAGAGAAAGCTATTTGCTCTGTTTGTTGTCATTCCATCTATTGAATTCAGACTTTTGCAAGCACCGAGTAAAGCAATGGCAATAGCAATAGCAATCTATCCACCGTGGTCTTTCTGGACCTGCTGAATTAAGAGCATTAATAATGGCTAGCAATGAAGGATACTGTAAGCTCTAACTCAGCATGCTATCTGACAGGATGGGAAATAAAACATTCATTTTTGCTCTGAGATAGGTCCACATTATTGGTTGCATTTGTACAAAACCTGATTACTGGATTAAACTATTTTCTGGGTTTGCAGAATCAACTGAATCATACATTAATCAATCTGTGTTTGCAGAACATACTAAACCCTAAAAAATCCCAAACTAGCCTAAAACAAAAACAAGAAATAAAATTAGCAGTAGATCCTTAACTGCCCTTTTTAAAAAATATGGTGGCAACAGTGTGTAGTGTAGCTTGAAGTAGGAGTCGTGGCATAGTGGTTAGAATGCAGTGTTGCAGGCTAACTCTGCCCACAGCCTGGAGTTCAATCCCATCCGGCTCAAGGTTGACTTACCTTCCATCCTTCCAAGGTTGGTAAAATGAAGTCTCAGATTGTTGGAGGCAATATGCTGACATCGTGAACTTCTCAGAGCGTGCTGTAAAGCATTATGAAGCAATTTATATCATGTTTCCCTGAAAATATGACCTACCCTGAAAACAAGCCCTAACCTGATTTTACACCTGTGCCTAAAATAAGCCTACCCCAAAATAAGCCCCAGTTAAACCCTGCCCACCATCTGGTTGTACAAGATGGAGTGAAGCACAGGCTTAAAAATCAAGCTAGGGCAGGGGTGCGAGGGAAGAGCTGCTCTACGTGCCCTGTACTTACTTACCTTAGGAATGCTGAAGCCAGGCCTCCCACGCCTCGACACCTGTCACGCTGCTGCCTGACTTCTGTAGCTGCTCATGGCCACTTCTTCCTGCTTTAGCTTTGCCCTCAGTCAGAAGCGGGATGGTTCATGTCAAAATGGTGGGTGACTTCGCTTGCGAAGGATTCCTAAAGTCTCAGCAGGAGGGGAGGGTCACTTGGGTAGTATGCTGAGAAAGCAGGGTTAATACGTGAGGTGTGGGTACGGGTCGAGCTTGCATTTCATCTTCCTGCCTTTTGTGAACTTTTGTGAACTTTGGCAGACCCTGGCTTGTTTCTCTCCCTCAAACTTTGCCAGAAATGGGTCTTCAGGAGGCTCATCGCACCAGCTTAGCCTCTCACATTAGGACGCTGCAAGGTTTGTGGTGTTGCTTGCGTGAGTGGCAGCACTGCTGTGAGGTTCATGCTGTTGCGCATGCGACAGCGCAGCTGCACCAGCAGGACGAATGGTCCATCGGCAATTGGGCCAGGCCGAAGGGCGTGGGTTGGAGGGCCAGAGGCCCATTGACCAGGTAGAATGGCCAGGGGAGGGCCAGCAGAGGAGGAAAGTTGGCTTTAAATGGGCTGGAGGCGAAGGAGGGGCAGCTAAGAGTGGGAGTGTGAAGGTCCCATTCTGATTCCAGAGATTGGTGGTGTAACTAATACACTGATTTTTTTCGCAGGTCTTCTCCAAGTCTTCTCCTGGGGACGAATCTTTTCCAATGTCAATTAGCTTCAAAAGGAGTGATTGAGTCATATAATGGAAATTATTCATTTAAATAGTTACTTGTGTCAAATTCTAAACATTTAGTAGGATTTTTTGCTATCATGAGGATCTGGGCCAAAAAACGTTCATCCAGGAATAAAAACACCCTATTTAAACAATATTTAAAATATATTGTATTGTGAAAATGCAGCTTAATAATTAATGTGCATTAAAAGAAAACTTTACAATATGTCTCTAATTTTCAGCCTACTCAGACACTGACTTCTTCTTTTACAAAAAGAATTAGGAAGACCTAGTTCTTAATAATCAGCATAAAGACTCTGACCTTTACAACTTTAGGCTTGTTTGCATAAAAGTACTAAATAGCTGACTGTGTCCATTACCTTAAATGACCAATTTATCTCAGGCATATTGGTGTTTTGATTGCCAAAATAAACAAAAAGCCTGCCAAACTCTACAGATAATAAAACCAGACTCAGAATGGCATTCTGCCATTGAATACTGTATGTAGACTTGTTAAGCTTCACTTAAAAGAAAAGGCTCAACATTTAAATTGTTTAAAAATATTACTAAGTAATATTAATATTACAATGCTGTTTACACATTGTAAGCGTTATCTCCCTGGCGACTCTTTTACTCAGGGGGCATTATTTCTATTATTAGATTATGAAATATTTGGTCTGAAATAATATTTCACCTATAAAACAGATGGGAGGGGGTGTGTCAATATCACCTGCTGAGTTCATGAAAGAGACAGACAAAATCAATCAAGGTTTCCTGCAATTTGTTAACTGTTACCTCAGAAATTCCCATTCTAAGGACGCTGGTTAATGCATCAAGGAATAGATCAAAAACCTATTGAGATCAGTGTTTGGTTGCACAATCAAGATGCCTTTGGGAACTGCACAACAAGACATGCAGGTACTGGGTCTTTTTTTGCTCTGGTTCTCCAACTTTATAACTTGGAGTTGCTAGCAGACAATAAGCTTTTCTTGAAAATATGTCTCTATTGTTATTAAAAAGTAATCTTATTGAAATATTATCAGATTTTGTGGCAGTAAATATATGAGTTAATATGTTTGTGAAGAAGTATTTCCTTTTATCTCTCTATCATATTCATAAAATGAAGTGTCAATGTTAATAAACTGTTAATAAACTGAGTTCAGAAAAAAAAAACTTCCATACAGACAATTTTACAATGGCTCTTCAGCATTATTGTTTGTATCTAAACAAGCAGCTTTTACTCAGTTGTGGCTCAGTTGGTAGTGTTTAGCTCATTAAAGCAGTTTTGACTCAGATGCCTGAATCATAGTGCGTTTTGTCATGGTCTAATCAAGAGATCCATTCTGAAGTTTCTTATAGAAACTCAGAGTAGTCTCCATTAAAAATATTTTAAAATGCATTTACATCTTTGCTTCCTGTGAGAAACTTCTGGTTATTTTAGGAATGCAGGTAATCCTCAAGTTATGACCACAATTGAGACCAGAATTTCCGTTTTTAAACAAGACAGTTGTTAAGTGAGTCATGTCCGCTTTTATTACCTTTTTGCCATGGTTGTTAAACAAATTTACTAGTTAAGTGAATCATGTGGTTGTTGAGCAAATCTGACCTCCACCATGGACCTAGCTTGTTGGAAGCCAGCTGAGAAAGTTGCAAATGACATCACATGACTGCAAGATCCTGCAGCCATCATAATTCACGCTGGTTGCCAAGGGCCCAAATGTTGATCACATGATCATAGGCAGTGGTGGGATTCAGCCAGTTTGGGTGAGTTCGGGCGAACTGGTTGTTAAATTGCTGGCTGGCCCCTACCTCCTTCCAGGAATCTCCATACACCCGTTTTGGCTTCCAGGTAAGTGCAGGGAGGCCTACTAGGCCCAAAACGGGGCATGGGGAGAGGGGATGGCGCTGCCCTCCGTGGCCTGTTTTTGCTCCTAAGAGACTGCAGGGAGGCCTACTATGCCCAAAACTGGACGCGGGGGGATGCCCCCCATGGCCCGTTTTTGCTCTGAGTGGGGTGCAGGAGGCTGACTGCTGCCTGTCACACCCCCTGGCCACGCCCATCATGGCCACGCCCATCCAGCCAGTCATTAGAGTAGAGAACTGGTTGTTAAATTATTTGAATCCCACCACTGATCATGGGGATGTTGTGACAGTCATAAGTGTGAGGAACAGTTCTAAGTAATTTTTTTGAGTGTTGTAACTTCAAACAGTTGCTAAATGAATGGTTGTAAGTCAAGGACTATTCTTCCAAATATGACTGATAGTATCTTCTAATGATAGCTAGAGTCTCATAGATAAATTGGGCTTCATAATTTTCCAGCCTCAATATCTTCATAAATGATTTAGATGCGGGGATAGAAGGAGAACTGATCAAATTTGCAAACAACACCAAGCTGCCAGGAATAGCCAGCACTCCAGGAGATAGGCTCAAGAGTCAGAAGGATCTTGACAGACTTGATGTCAACTTTCAAAATGACTTCATCTGAAGCCATATTTCATTTTCTTTGTTTCTTAATTGCCACACATAAGGGAGAGGGGGACCTACGGGATGTAGGATATTTCCCTCCACTGTGCCAGACATAACAGCGATAAGGTCCATTTGAACCAAGGTCATTTCAATGA